GCTTTCACTCTTTTGTAAATGTGTGCCATGTGTTGTTTCACAGAAGGAGTTCCACAATAGTAACAAAAATAGATAACATGACAGATTATAAAATTGTAATTTGGCAGTTCAAATTTAGATAGATGGCTGTGCATCTTCACAAATTCTTGCCATTATTCATAATGGTATTATGTTTTATATGAGAGTTTCTAGGAGCACTTTGGGCAAAATCAAATACTATAGATCATTGATAAAGCACATAGAAGGGCCTCATTTCAACTCCTGGGATTACCAATTAAAAGAACATCAGGAGATGAGGTGGAAAAAATACCCATTTCAGTTCACTGCTTTGGTCTGGTATTAGACAGCCTCATATTCATTGAAACCATGTGTTTTTCCAGAAATTGTTAGGCAGCACGTTCACACATTTCTCACCATTGGCTCCACTGGCTACTTCTGCTGGGATTTTCAGTCCAACAACATCTGGAGGGTCATAAGATTCCATACCTGACCTAAATATTAGAGTCTCTTTTTATAAACACTTGGAGAGTCATCAACAATGCAAGCTCAGGAAGCATATGTTACAGCATGTAGAAGCTTCAGAAGATAATTCTCAATCAGAAAAGGTGTGGTATCCGGTTTCATTTTAGCAGTTCATGCTTTTTAATTTATGTTGTAACATTTTCAGAACAGAGTCCTGAAGTATTATCCGTTTCTAATCTCCTTTCCTGTTCTATATTGTTAAAAGGAAGGAAGTTAAAATTAAGATGTCTTGAAAATGTTATGCTGGTCCTGTGCTGACCTCATCGTTGAAGCATGGATAAATGGAAGTTTTTCTCATCTCTTTATTGTCATACGACACATTTAAGAAAACATAGTCTATAGACATTTTACACATACTATCTAAACTATTGTTGCAGCCAATTTCCATGTTTCAGCTGCTAAACACATCCAGGTTACCTGTTTCTTTTTAATGACAGAAATAGATTTCAGATTTGATAGTTACATGCAAGGTCTTATCTCTTTCTTAGATCAGAGGCGTCAAGGTGAGCAAATTTAGCAATGTGTTCTGAAAAACAAATTGAGAATTTTATTAGACTGTGTAATAAGGTTTTTTTTTTTTTGCTAGCTCTTAAATGTAATGACATACATACCTACTACAGGGTTGCTGTGAGTTTTCCGTGCTGTATGGCCATGTTCCAAAAGCATTCTCTCCTGATGTTTCGTCCACATTGTATGGAGTCCCTGGTAGCGAGTGGGTTAAACTGCTGAGCTTGTTGGGGTCGCAGGTTTGAATCCGGAAAGTGGTGTGAGCTTCTTCTGTCAACCCCAGCTTATGCCAACCTAGCAGTTTGAAAACATGCAATGTGAGTAGATCAATAAGTACCGCTTTGGGAGGAAGGTAATGGCACTCCATGCAGTCATGCCAGCCACATGACCTTTGGTGCGTCAACAGACAGCCCCGGCTCTTCGGCTTAGAAATGGAGATGAGCACCAGCCCCCAGAGTCGGGCATGACTGGACTTAATGTCAGGAGAAAAGCTTTACCTTTACCTTTACTTGTATTGACAAACTGCATAATAAATAAGACTTCTTCATGACTGTAAATTCTGAAATGCAGCTGCTGGATATAAACTCATTTTCAGAATTTCTCTCCATATTTTGTTCCAGAAATCCTGCTTTTTCAGAAAACAAAGCCTTTTAAATTGCAACTGAAATACAACATTAAGAATGATGAAAGAACACAAGCCACTTTATTACCACAATTGCAGAAGATATATAGAGGAAAATAGAGTGATTCCCCCCCCCCCCCAAATTTCACCATTTGATGTTGAAGTAGTGAACTCTGATGGGCCTCATGAAAGACTAGCAGAAGTGTCAATTCTAAAGTTGAGAGTCTTAAGTTGTGCTCTAGTTATAAAGTTCATATGGGAAAATATATTCCATAAAGCATACTGGACTCAGATTGTATGCTTTCAAATAATTTCAGTGCCATGAAGCATGCCCCCAAATTGATAGGCAGAGCGTACTTACCCACTCCCAGTAGTGGAAATAGCAAATATTCATTTGTGATCTGTGTGTGCCTTTAGATCACATGTCAACTTATGGCAAACTCATGGATTTGTTAAAGGAATGCTTAGGAATGCTCAGAGATAGTTTTGTTCCATCTTTTGAAATATATCATATATATGAAATATAGCATGTATCTCTCATACAGGACTGATCCTGATTAAGTTCTATGATAGATGGGATCTGATGCCTTTAGTATACAGGTTGCTAATAGCTTTTAGAGAAGGACTGTATATATTTGGATTTGGAAAATAAAATAAAGAGAGTGAGGCATTAGTGATCACATTTTAATAAACATTACTTTGTCCTTGGGATAAGTGTGCACTGATAAAAAATATTAAAGCTAGATTTTGAAAATTTTGGAAACACTTTGACATATCACATAAGAGTATACACCCTACAAATTATTTTCCACTTCCTGCTGGTTACTAACATAAAATGTCAATTCACTCTTATCTTGAATTCTGATTTCCTTAGACAAAGCATGGCTTAGCTAGCACACATATTTTGTGACCCATAGTTAGGCATGGCAGGAGGTGGTTTCAAATGTGTAAATTCTACATATCTTCTGCACATTTATTCATTTCTTGGGGTGTCCTGTGAGCATGTAGAAGTCACTACGTTAAGTTTGGTGATTCTGTTTGGCTGACAGAATACTAGGCATTGTATTTGGTCCTCAGGGAATGTCAAACATAGTATGCTATACTGCATGGAGATAAATCAGTAATGTTCTTATTACCAATATCTGTGCATATTTATCATTATTTCCTTCGGCTCCTGCCTTTGCCAGCCCCATGATTGGTTTGTGGTTGAAATGGGGTTTCAAATTTAAATGAAAGGATGGTAAAACCCACATGTCTGAAGGAACGAGAAGGATACTGTGTGAAGTTCTGGCTGTGAATGAAGCTAAAGAATTTAAAGTGCAAGACAGTTATTTTAGTTGGCCTGTATTTAGAGGTTTTTAGATTGCTGTATCCTGAAATAGTACAAACCTCTGTTTTCTGTGTCAACTATTTTGAGGTCACCATGTTAGTTTATGGTTAAGGTCATGTGAGGTGATTAGAAGGTAGCTAAGAATAACTTAATTTGATTGTTGTCAGGAAATACTATAGAATATATACAGAAGGGCTCAAATTTTATATTTCAGAAGTCTTCAGATGTTTTTAAAAGAGGATCTCAGGCTATTCTACATACTTCTCAGTTATTTTCATGTTATTTAGATTCATGGTCACCACAGGATAGATTGTACTCTCTTTTTGGTGCAAGTGAAATAATTTTTTTCAGACCAAAAAGACACTTAAATTCTACAGAACATAAATGAATAACCCTGAAAAAGTTGTATGGAGACCTCACACTTTTATTACCATAGTTATCTGGCTGTGTCATACTTGAATGCCTGTTTGAACTCAGTATAAATAAAATATATTCTTGTACTTAGAAGCGTTCAGTATACATTATTGATAGTTCTTGTGTACTTCAACTCATTAAATATGACAAGTGTTTCAAAAAAATAGTCTTTTTAGTGTAGGTGTTCGAGATCTGAGACAAAGTAAAACTGAATATGTAAGCAGATTAGAAGTCTACTATAATGGTAACTGTGTGAATCCGTAGCCTCCTTTTTCCTCTTTTTCTTTGCGGCAATGAATTAGGACAATGTCCTAAACAAGTTGCCTTTGCATTAAGAACAAGTGTGCCAGCAATCTGATGGGGCTTCTCTATGTTCTGCAATGTATGCACTCTGTACATGTTGAGCATTTATTTATTTACAGTTCTTATATTCCGCCCTTCTCACCCCGCAGGGGACTCAGGGCGGATTACAGTAAACACATATATGGCAAACATTCAATGCCAGTTTGACAAACAACATTTAACAGACAAAGGCTATTTAACTTTTTTCTGGCCGCCGGGGGAGCTGCTGCTTTTCATCGTCCATCAACGACACCGATGAAGTTCTTCCGCATTCTACATTCCCCGGAGTCTTCTTTCTTTATGGCCTCATAAATTAGTTAAATTTAGCCTCCCACACAAGGTGGTACCTTATTTTCCTACTTGACAGAAGCAACTGTCTTTCGGGTTGCAAAGGTCGACAACGGGCTACACAATGGCTGGACACCCACTCCAGCCCGGGCTGGCTTCGAACTCATGACCTTTTGGTCAGAGTGATCTTAATGCAGCTGACACTCAGCCAGCTGCGCCACAATCCCGGTGCCTCTCACCTTTGCAACCAAAATCTGTAATTGTTCACATGGGTGACTGAGATAGTGACAACCTTTGCTTTCTGATGAATTAAATGTACAAAAACTAGGTTTCATGCACAAAATTATTTAAAATGATGCATAAAATTACCTTCACTCTATGTTTATAAGGTGTCTATGAAACAAATGAATTTTGTGTTTAACTTTGTGTCCTGTTTCCAAGATATCTTATGACATACATATACGCAAATGCACTTATTCCCGAAACTGGAAAAAAATCAAAACACTTCTGGTTCCAAGCATTTTGGATGACGGATACTCAACCTGTAATAACTTGGTGGAGGCATATGTTCCTAATCACATTTAGTTAGCCAACTTGATTAAGCATAACTAATCCAAGTAGCTAATGTTGATGACACAGCAGTGGTAGCAGAAGTGAAACAGCCAAGACACAGCAGGGTTGAGGAAGCGGGCAGATGAAACCATCACCAACAAGAGAGAAAGCTGCCCTTGCAGCTCCCAACCAGAACCAGAACTCACAATATTAGAGAAAAGGAAATATGTTCAAGTTACCCATGCTCTCCTAATTTAAGGCAGTAATAGCAAGAGTGGTCAGACTTCATTTTTTGTGGTCTTTACAATCACTATATTTTTTTTGCTACAGTTAGTCATCTTATGTTTACCAGTTTATGTTTCTGCATTATTGTGATTTCATCTTGAAGTATCTGTTCTCATTTTCATCTTTTTTTCCCCTTAGGTCCATTTTCCAGACACAGAAAGAGCAGAATGGCTAAATAAGGTAAGCTATTACTCTTATTGCCTGAAAACGTTGGTAATAATAAAAAATGTTATTCCTTGTCTTTTGGCCAGCTCTTAACATTCCCCACCATGGCACTCTTCGGGTGTTTTGGGTTGCCAGCCTGGCAGTTAATTGAGGATGACGGGAGTTGCAGGTTAAAAATCTGGAAGGTTATAGTTTATAGAAACCTAAGTTACATACTTTCTGATCTTCCTTTCGAAAATTCAGAGCCTCTTGACTTGGGCTTGTAAAGTATATTGAATACGATGTGAAATTCTGTTTCTTTTGAAGTAAGTGGCAATTAGTTCTTACAGATTTTCAGGTACTAATAATAAGTGATAACTGATAGTTCTATAAGACTTCCATGATCGATTTCCTTCCAAAGCAACTAATTTCTTGGGGTGGGCTATTTTCCAAAACTAGTTTGTTGTCATCCATCATCCATGAGAAGAATGGTCTTAGTATGGTATAGAGTACTAACTTTTGTTCTTTGCTCTGCAACAATTTATCCTGTTTGTTACTTTTGAAGATGAAGTCCTTTTTCCACATAGGCCAATGTAAGGCTGCATTCTTCTGTGGCCCAGTGAAAATGACACAGCCACTACCCTTTACGTTCTTGACTTATAGTTTGTGGATTGTGTGCTCCATTTTGTGCTCATTCACTGTAGTCTCCTCATGTTTATTTTTTGCTTTGCAAAGTTTCATAGATGTGTAAACAGACTGTAGTTTCTTGCTGTACAGTTTGACATGAAGATTTTCCCTTTCAGTTCAGGGCTCACTTGCAGCCAACGTGGAGACATGTGTTACATCATTTGCAGCATTTAGTAATAGTGCAAGGGAATGAATATGGGTATTATAATCTCTGCTCTCTGTGTGTGTGTGTTTATATACTTCCATTCAAGTGGTGAGCCCATTAATTTCATAAGGTTTCCTAGGCAAGGAATTAGTCAGAGGTATTTTTTTTAGTTATTTCTTCTAAAATATAGCCTAAAATATAGCCTGGTATTTGTTGGTGGGGTCTCATTCAAGATTCTGCTTAGCATCCAGGATCTGGTGCTTCTAAAGTAGTGTTTCTCAAACTCTGTTCCTCCAGGTGTTTTGGACTTCATCTCCTACAATTCCTAACAGTTGGTAAGCTGGCAGGGATTTCTGAGAGTTGAAGTCCAAAACACAAGGAGAAGTTTGAGAAAGACTTCTCTAAAGTATTTAGTCCACACTCTGCTAGTCAGCTACTAAAAGGTTTCAGATTGGATTTGGTTGCTAATTTGTAATGAGCTGTTATTGTGTCAGTCACACATATTTGCAAGAAGTCTTAAGCATGCTGTATTTTTAACTTGTATACAATCTCTTTGATAAAGGACATGTCTGAAAATATGCTGGAAATCAAAATAATAAAATACAAGTACAGATTTTTAAAATGGAACTTAATTGAAAAACATATGTTGAAAAGATACATATAAAGCCTTATGAATGAGCTATAGGAATAACCTTTAAAAGGCTGCCAGGATCACTGATTGTATGAAGGGTAAATTGCATATAACACTATCATTTTTATGAAATACTTCTATTCATGTGATTGTAACTGAAAACCCTAAAATACTTTTCTTCTTCTTCTCAGACTGTAAAACACATGTGGCCTTTCATTTGCCAATTTATTGAAAAACTTTTCCGGGAAACCATAGAACCAGCAGTGAGAGGAGCGAACAATCACCTGAGTACTTTCAGCTTCACAAAAATTGATATTGGGCACCAGGTAGGAGGTTTTATTTGGACTGTGTGTAATGTGTACACTTTGTGGCTATGTGAAAGTGGACAATATTTTCACAAAATACTGTTTTTTTTAGCATTATCCTTGAGACATCTGAAAATATCTTGCTTTTGGGAAAGGGAGAATTCCCTGATAATAACAATTTATGTTAAAGCGAAGGAATGTTTTGATTTCAAAATTATTTTAGTACTCTGCCACCACTTGTAAAAATTCATAATGGTTTGGGAGAATCAGTAATAAACATTCAGACTAAATATTTACAGGAATCTTCTCATTTTGATAGTCTGCAGCAGTAGCTTGATATGTTTCAGTATCTTGGTGTGCTTTTGTCATCTGGTGGACATGAGAGAAGCCTCCCAAAAGGATGGTAAAACATCAAAACATCCGAGCATCCCCTGGGCAACATCCTTGCAGATGACCATTCTCTCACACCAGAAGTGACTTGCAGTTTTTCAAGTCGCTCCTGACATGAAAAAAAATCTGGTGATACTGTGTATTTTATAGTACTACTTTTTGGATGAGATCTTTTCTATCTTAGTGGAGATCAGGTGCTTGATTGCTGTTGCTATGGTGATGGAACAACAGGAGAGGAAGGGTTGGAATGTGCAAAACAGCTCATGTTGAAAGATTATTTAAAGTTGTAAAAATTCTTCCTGCTTGAGTACATATCAGACAAATGGACACAGGTCTAACATTTGTGTGTTGACTAGTGATTCTATTCTTCTTTGGAAAAACTTGCTCAGTATATAAATACATAGTAATAAAGCACTGTTGCTCAGGGCAGATATTGTTTGATTGCTCACTTCTGTGGTTGATTCAGTGGCCAGAAGCATTGGATAACTCACCTTTCAATATTAATTCTTGTCTAATAGTGACAGACCTCTGTGAATTAAGCATTTGGACAAAAATAATTCTGATAAAGTTTTGACACCACTTATAAGCATTTGCTAATGTGAATGCTGTCAGAGGGAACATATTTTTTGTCTATGTCTTTTAAAATAAATTCAACTATACCTTGGGGCAGGGAGAGACTTGATGGAGCACTTGAGTCATACTGTGTGCCTATTATTTCAATTTCTAAAAATTGCAGGCAGTATTCATATACATTTAGGGCAATGTGAATGGCATTGTATCCACTTGCCTTTTAATTATTTAAAATCTGTGGGTTTAAACCATTTAGATCTCGTTATTTAGCCAAAAATGTTTCCAATGTGGCTCGCAAGATGGATGCCCTCAGGTGTACAGTCTAAATTTAAGATAGCGCACACAAGGAAAAGGATTTGGGTTAAAAGTGCAGGAGAGTTAAATGGAAAAGCGTTTTCCTTGCCCTTCTACTTGTCTTAGATCAGTGGTTCCCAACCTGTGGTCCATGCATCACCAGTAGTCTGCAAGAACTAAAATATGGTCTGAGGTCCCACCATTACTACACCATTGAAACGAGAGTGATTGGTATCTCGAAACCCTCTTATAGTGCTGTGGCTTAGTAAATATGGTTTTTGTGGGTGAGCAGATGGTAACTACTGGATGGCATATATTCTGTATCAGAAACTCTAACTTATCTGGTCTATCCAATGCAGTTTTCTGAATCGGCACCCCAAATAAACAAACCAAATCTAAAGTTGACCAAAAACTGTTTCGTAACCCTTTTTGTACTGTCACAAAAATTTAATATGTAGATTTGATCAATGTGGATTTAATATATGTGTGGGTATGAATGAATTGTATGGAAGATGGATGGATGGATGGAGCTAATAATTTTGAAAACACCAGTAAAATATTAAGGCTTGCAATGACTAACTGCCTGCCTGCGGAATTATAATTAAAAGTTGCTGATGAGAACTGAAAAGTAAACTGTGATAAGAACAGTGACAATGGTTCTTTTAAGTTAAGGAAATGTTTACAACATTCCTTATGTTAAGTAGGAAGTCAACACAAGGCTAACACCAATCAAGAAGAATCAACATCTGGTCAGGAGGTGAAGACTCAAGATAATTTCAAACAGAACAATTATTTACTACATCAGCAGAATATTCCTATAAAAGACTCAATCTAATAATTCTCAAATTGTGTCAGACCTGAGGAACCCGTTTCACCCACCATGCTCTGCTCCATTGGGAAGGAGAGAGATGGTGTATGGAAGATTTGCATGGGAGCAGTGTGGTCAATTTGGCCTTCTTTCTTCTAGGGAAGAGGAAGAAGTGTGCTTTTTGGAGTCTTAGATTTTGTGCAAGGAGTCAAGTTCTGCTGTATGAAAAACAGAAATCTGGTCCTTGGCATTGTGCATAGGGAAATTATGCATTTTCACATTTTGAAGTTTGAAGAACTGCGTTGGCAGGCTACACGGAAGCAGGGTCTGGCCTAAGAGATGTTCTTCTCCAGGAGAAAGCAGGGGAAATGGTGATGTATGCATGAGGATGAATACAGGTATATATGTGTGAATGGTGATTGAAAATGTAACCCCCCTTTTGTTTGTAGACCAATGTAACAGTTATTTGTGAATCCAGTGTAATTGCATAGAATCTGTATGTCAATGTCATTCTTTGTGTAAAAGTGTAAAAGTTCTGATATACACACTGGAAATTGCAATAAAAAGAACTTATGCTTTAAAGTTATTGAAAAGTTACTCGTGACAGTACTAATTTGGAGAGTGGTGTCTGGTCAAGGTGGTCCCTAGTAAAAAATGATTGGGAACCACTGCCTTAGATGGTATAATTACCTTTGTAGTTGCTATTCCAGCTGCTGGTTTTAAAACTATATGTGGTGGTATATTGGCTATGAGTAATTTCTTTGGGCTAGATATCTCTGTGTTAAATAAACTTTGTGTATATGTGAAATGCCAAAGATGTCATAGTCTTTCAAAACACTTCTTAAAATGTTTCTTGATTAACAAACAGATTACAGCTGTTTTAGCCATTTATAGTATGTTTGTTTTGATAATCTTATCAGCCATATTGGGCAAGGGAGCTCAGGGGTATGTTCTCGTACAGAAAATCCACACCCCTCCATTTTTCGCTTCTTTTTCCAGTCCTTCAGTTTATTTATTTTTTTTAACCGTAGTGATCTAATTTGCAATCAAAATAGTATACTTTCACACTATAAAGAAATAGGATGAAGGAAAGGAGAGGAAAAAGCAGACATACTACTAGACTCTACCCCTCCCTAAATATAATGAAAAGAAAAATAAAGATGGGGGAATATTATTCTAGCATTATGGATCTAATTACATATTAGGCTTGGGCCCGAATCAGTTTGAATAAAAATGATTTGTAATATTTGACAGTCCATTTTATTTAATCTCCAAAAACAGAACGGGGAAGAGGGAGCCAGAAAACCTGGGAAAATGGATTAAAGGAGCTGGATTTTGTCAGCTCCTGTAGAAGATGGGGTTAAGTCTGCAATATACCTGAGGCAGGAGTTTCATGGAGAAGATGGGATTATTGCAGCAATATTTTCCCTCCCCTGCAGTAGTAGTGTCCATCCATTTCTTTTTGGAAAGTTTCCTAGGCTCCTCCTTCAGAGACGGCGCTGCTGGGAACACGCTTTTCCACCAGCATTTACATGGGGCAGGTGCAGAGTTCCTCTCGGAACATGATTGGAATTGAAGTTTTTCTCTCCCTCTGTTTCTCAGCTAATAAAAAGCCCAGGCTGTGCCCATACTCTGATTGGCTGTGAATTGACACAACTGGCGACTACAAGTTCCCAGAACCCTCTCTTGCGATTTGTCTTCTTTTTAAAAAATTATGGTTAAAACTTAAAATAATTCTAAACGATCAATAGATTGGCAAATTGTTTTGAAACTTGGTAGGCCTGCAGTTGTAGATGGGGTCTAAAACTGAGGTAGGTTTCAGGTAGATAAGCCTTAAAATGACTGAGGATTGAGCCTTTAAAGTTTCGTATTGTAGCCAATAGGCCGAATCTTTACCAAATGAAAATGGCAACACTCATCCCGATTTGTGTAATGAGAGGCTAGCCGACAATGGACCCCGAAATGGTATGCCTTTTGGCTGAATTGCACACCACTACTAAATATTCCTACTAAAATACTAGCAAGCATAACCACAGATTATTACATTGGTGGATTTTGTAACACTCAAAAAGACAATATTTTCTAATATTTTAAAAAAGTCTTCAACTGGCATTTTATCAGCCTTAACAATCAAATATTCAATTGTCAGTGAGCCAATCCTTTTCTAACCATAAGCAAACAATATTCTTTCTGCTGTTGTGTATCAAGGAAGTAGTCCATATTGACTCTCCAGTTCTTGATCCATAATATCTAGCTTCTGGTAACATTAAAAAATATACTTTTATTTTTTACTTTCTTCTAAGTTCACAACACATGAAACAAGGAGCACTCCTCATCTTGACATGCTCAGTATTGGTTTAAAATATTCTAGGATATTTTTATTTATTTATTTCATATATTTGTATCCCATCCTTTTCACCCTAAAAGGGGATGCAGGATGGCCTTACAGCAGGCAGCAATTTGATGCCAATACATATAAATATAAAAATAAACAAATTCAATTAAAACCATACAAGTAAACATCAGTTACATTTTTGATAGCTTATTTGGGTTTAGATAGCATCTATACATCATTTTATACAGTTTTTTTTAAAAAAATACTTCACAGGTAAATGTTATATCTTTGCACTACCTTTCCTCCCATAGGGCACTACGCCCAACCTATTCATATACTGTTTCACAGTTTATATTTTGTCTCTAATTTCAAACGCCACTGATACATTTTTAATTATATGGTCACTGTCTTTATCCTACTTTAAATAGAAATAATTTTCTTTACCCTCTGTGTCTGCATTTCTCTTATCTCGATTAAATGTTTCCTTAAGCTGCATATAAACAAAACAATTGAGGTCTTTATCTTAATAATTTCATTTGCGGAAAACTTCCAAGTTGTGTTATTCAAAATGCAAAAGATCACCATAAAGCAACAACCTCAATTTTTAACCCATTATTTCTGTGGTAAAGTGGCTAGAATTACCTTAGGAAAAAGGTCTCTGGTTGTATTTATAGCAAACACAGGAGCATTTCTAATATAGTGACAATATTCAAATTCAGTTCTACAAAACTCTACAATCTCTTTTTCTTATGTAGGTCTCTTGAAGACCAATAATTTCATCTTTGATATTTTAAAAAAAATGCATGTTTCCCTTTATTGGGACAAGCTCAGTCCATTTACATTCCATTAAATTAGTTTCAGATTCATCATACAAAAATATTTCTTCTTAGCAACACTCAACCATTTGAATATCTCTTTCTGGGGCTTCTTTCATCAATTCTCTTTCTTTCTCTCCAAAGAGTTTATTGTATACTTGGCAGTGCAGAAGTAGTTATCTGGGACTATTCAATGAAAGGTTATATCCTTTTTTCTGCATACCTTCACCAAGAATTTGTGCTCTCTGTTTCTTCAGCATTCCTTAGGGATTCTCTTTAAAGACAATTATTTCATACTCCTTTATTTTAAATCTTTACTTACAATGTGTTTTCAGTATTTAATCTCTGACACGTCTGTGTGTGGAGTAAATTGTCATATCTCTTGGATGTCTGTTCCATCCCCCCGGTGCATAAGCAGAGTTTTTCTTATACATTGCTTGGTTCTCAATCTTCCTAACGCCATGGCCCATTAACACAGTTCCTCATGTTGTGGTTACCCCCAACCATAAAATTATTTTTGTTTCTATTTCATAACTGTAATTTTGCTACTGTTGTGAATTGTAATGTAAATATCTGATATGCAGGATGTAGTTTCATTCACTGAAGCAAATTTGGCACAAATACCCGATATGCTCAAATTTGAATTTGGGGTGATTTTATCATGTGGGAGTTGTAGTTGCTGGGATTTATAGCTAACCTACAATCAAAGAGCATTCTGAACTTCACTAATGATGGAATTGAACCAGGCGTGGCACACAGAACTCCCATGACCAACAGAAAATACTGGAACGGTTTGGTGGGCATAGACCTTGAGTTTGGGCATTGCAGTTCACCTACATCCAGAGAGCACTGTGAACTCAAACAATGATAGATCTGGACCAAGCTTGGCACGAATACCCAAATGTGAACACTGGTGGAGTTTGGGGAAAATAGAGCTTGACATTTGGTAGTTGTAGTTGCTGGGATTTATAGTTCACCTACAATCAAACAGCATTCTGAACCCCACCAACAATAGAATTGGGCCAGACTTTCCACACAGAACCCCCATGACCAAGAGAAAATACTGTATTTTCTGATGGTCTTTGGCAACCCCTCTGACACCCCCTCACAACCCCCAGGTTAAGAAACACTGTTTTAGTCCAATTCTTCACTAGGGCTGTGAATAAGATCTGCCATAGCTTTGTAAACGGTCTGTTCTCAGTCAATCAGCTCTTTTGGCATAGCTCATAGCCTAATCCGCATTTCCTTTGATTTTAACTTCCATCGTCAGTCAGTTCTTTTGGCAAAGCTCATTCCCTAATCTGTATTTCCTTTGATATTTAACTCCATCATCATAATTCTGTGCTTTGCCCTTTTCCTCTCCTGCCTTAAAATGGCCATTCCCTTTGAGCTATCGGAGATCTCTTGTTTGTGTCAAGTTGTTATGACATTCTGAATTGATGCTGTGGCCTCTGAACAGGTTTTCAGAAAGCTTTTTAAAATGATTTACTTGTCCTGTGATCTATAACCTTAACAAATCCAGTTTCTGTTTTTAATACTTTCTGTCCCATATTCATTAACATCTACAATCTGGTTAGACATCTTGGATATTGAGGCTTGAATTTTAATAAGCAGAGGGTCAGTTTTGTCTAGCTTTCCACCTTTTTAAAAAAAAGCTATTTCTCATAAAGGATAATTTTGATAGAATTGTTGCTCTGTTAAAAATAAAATCTTTACTTTAGCCCCTTAGGATTGATGGTGTTAAAGTATACACTGAAAATGTGGATAAAAGGCAGATCATTTTGGATCTTCAAATCAGGTAAACTTGTTACAAGTACATTAATATTGTTTAAAATATGTACTTTAAACTGTGTTTTGTTAGGTCTCAGATTGGTTACTGTGGAAATATTAACACAAAAAAAGAGATGAAGGTTTGCCTTAATAAATTTTCCATTAATGTGAAACGTGCCTGTCATGTTTGGGATCTTCAGATTAATTTAGCCTTACATAATTCACAGCCTTTATGCCCTCCATGGATAAAGTGTTCCGCTTTACCCACTGTACAAACAGAAGATAATGTTTCATACAAGCTATGTTGCAAAGACATGCCAAGAAGTATGAGTTGAAGGGCAATAGTGACATTAATGAACTGCCTGTATACATGTGTGTAATCTTCTTACTGTCTTGTTCCCTTCATTTCTGTTAGTTATATTACTGTAGTAATACTGTAACACAATGATACATAATAAATGAAAAAATGTATTGAGTGTGTGTATAATGTAATCGTTTAAAAATTCTGGTGTTTCTGGTGTTGTTAGCCACTTTGGGTCATTTTTAAACAACAACAGCAACACTTATTTTGCTAAATCTCAGATATTTAGTGATAACCTGAAGCCACACCGTCAGTTTTAGCATATTTTAAGGGCACATTCATTTTAATATATGTATTCTCATTAAACATATGATCATTTATGAATGCATTCTTATGTATACCATATTACTTATGTTTTTCTTCTCACTCTTAGTTTTGTTGGCAATTGTGAAATTGACCTGGAGATAAAGAGATACTTCTGCAGAGCTGGTGTGAAGAGTATACAGGTAAGTTTCATTTTTTTTCCTGCCTATTATGCAACCATATTAGTTTATGATAGAAATTCCATAAAATCAATAAGGTAATTCTCATACCAAACTGGAAACAAAACTTTGTTCTTTTTGGTGTCATTCTAAGTATTCAGATCTCTGCAATAATATGTACTTTCAATATTCCATTTACAATTCATGCTTAGTACTTTGGTCTTTTTCTTCTAGATTCATGGTACAATGAGAGTTATATTGGAACCTCTGCTAGGAGACATGCCCTTAATTGGAGCACTGTCATTATTTTTTCTTAGGAAACCGGTAAGTGAAAAATCTTTATATTTTCTTCCTTCTGTGCAGTTTTGAACAAGCAGTCTGGTGTACACTGCTAGGCTTAATTTCTAGGCTTGTGCATGGATTTGTTTTGGACGTTTGCCTTTGGCTTGTTTGGATGACCGTAATGGTAAGGGCACTGCTACCATATTTTTTTCGACCAAAACGGACCACACATCTGCTGGTTGTGGCTAGTTTCCGTTCTATTTGGGAACGCGCAGTGCGTGAGAGGTTGCTTTATGCTTGCATGAGGTTTTCCTGTGAGCCCTACCTGTTGGGCCAATCAGAATAGAAGACAGCCATGATGTATCTTCCGCAAGCTGTGTCTATTTAATGGAGTGAGTGGCTCCATTGCTCAGTTACATCCTGGCTCTAGAGAGAGGTGCTTCAGTTGCTGCAGTCAGATTGCCTTTCCACTCGCTCACTCACAGATTTAGCTTTTGGCTTGGCTCATTGAAGCTAATTTTATGTTTAGATTTTCCTAGATTATTTCTTTTTTTTATTTAGGGACTGTGAGCTGGAAAGTACAGGTGGGTGGGTGGGTGGGTGCACGGCATTTGGGGACTTCTTGATGGGTGTGCTTTTCTTTTAGGGTGGCTCTGAGATTTGAGTCATACTTTAGCCTTTACTAAAGCTTTTAGTTTCTCTTTTCTCTCCTCTCTTTCAGAAGGTACTTTTAAAAGACTATTGTTATTATTAATTATAAGAATTCCAGCAAACAGCAATGCCTCATTTTTAGAAAAACTGTCTCCCTATCAACCTAAACCTACCACCAATACGTAATAATTTCTTACCTTTGCAATCTCATCACAAGTTCTCTCTATATTTATTATATTTTTCTCTGTGCTCTCTACCTTCTTAATTTTGTTTAATAATAATATTTTGGATGTTGCCTAAAAATAATAAAACTATTGGGCTTCTGTGGAAGCTTTGCCAGGCCAACAAAACTTATCATCTCTTGCTAACTCCAATCCCCATCAGGACATAGAAGATTATTGTTTATTATTAAGAATTGTACCAGCAAAACACATTTTGGGAATTTTTTATTTTTATTTCTAAAAAGAAAAATTCCTAAAAATCAGGGGATGACCCTTATGAAACTTCGTGAGCTAACAGCGGTAGATGTGTCCTCCGAGTGTGGCCATTTTCATCCTGATAACTCTAAAAGTGTTTTGGAATGGGAGCCCAGGAACCCCCTTCCAGATCTTGCCACTTGTTTTGGCTGTAGGCCAAAAATGGCTTTGCAGGTGGTGCCTGTTTTTCAGAGGTCCACAAAAATGGATCCGTGGGCCTGCTGAAATTTGGATAGCATAAATGGATCACCTTCAGCTGAAATGCCCAAGTCTATTAATTACACCTACTGAACTTCTCCGGTAAGCAAAAGTGGTTACAGTAACCAGGAGCTTTAAAAAAAAAAGCATAATACAGCATCTCTCCTTCAGGCTTCTGGATATTGGCTCCCTAGAGGAGTGACAAACCATGGCCTAGGAAGATCCCGGTTGTTTTAGCTATTCACATTTGCAAGAAAAGCCAAGTTGGAGTTTCTGGGTAGCAGACCAAAACACTCAGCAGTTCAGGCATCTCATTTTGAGTAAAATGGTTACACCTTTTTTTGTTATTGGCCATATAATAAAAAATAATAATGTTTGGAGCTTTTCCTGCAGATCCTGTATCTGTGAATTGTAAATCTCCTTCCATCCACACAAAAATTCTGATGTAGGAGATCATTTCCAGTGGTTGAATAAGAAAGGAAACTATCTGCCATTCCTTTGTAATATTCTGGCATTCCTTAAAATCTGCTCTAGAGTTTGCGGGGGGAGGGTATCCCTCTAGAATAGCATGAAAAGTGGTTCTTGGGTTGCTTGCATCCTACTGATCAGAGTGTCCTGAAGATAATGCCACTCTTGGTGAGGCATGGAAACTTGAGTACTAAGGTTACCGTAACATTTGTAATAATTTTCTCTCTTGTTGCCCACTGTTCTACATGATGATAGTCAGTTCCAACTGAATGGACAGACTTTCGTAAACTACCAGTCCGCAAAGAAGATCTTTTGGAATTTCTCATGGGTATAGGCAGCACATTTTCTCTTGTCTCAAGAGTTTAAAACTAAGGCTTAGATCTGGTCCATAAATCAGCATGGAATTATTTCCAATTGTTTTTGCTATAAAACAGAAATGATTGAGTATTCAGTACTGTTGAAACTTTATATTGTTCTTTTAGGAGAATTCATAACTGTATAAATACACATTTTCTTATTATGGCCACCTGTTTCACTTTAGGCAAAGTCATAATTTCTCAAATTAAAATAAAGACCACATTGAAATGTTGTTTAGAAATCTGAGCATCATACTAATGGGCTTACTTATTGTATATGATATTTTTTTAATTACTGTACCCTGTGGTCTAAATTTAGGATGGTTCATTATTCACACTCTAGTTGGAGATTACCCAAATTCAGATCTGATTTCATTACAACAGTAACTAATTAATTAAAAGGAAAGAGAACCCAGTTTAACATAATTCAAATGGGCTTTTAATATGACATTTTATATGCTTCATGTCTGCTGTACAACCATGTACAGAATTTATTGAAACCTTCACTTGATTTCAAAATAACAAGTGCCAAGACCTCACCATGTTTTCTGAGTGGGGAAAAGTGTTAATTAAGTCTTTATGGATTCGGCCATCCACAGCTTTAAAATATTCCTTCCCTTAAAAAAATAATATTGATTTTACCATTTTATATATACCATTTTATTATTATGCCATTGTATATAATAGGACACAAGGAGCCATGAATTTTAGTATCCACTGGAGGTTCTGGAACCCTATTAGATACAGAGGACTCACTCTTTGTGCTTCTGAGCATAGTACTAGTGAAGAAAGTTTAGTTGCTATGCTGAGTATGTTTCCAGTAGCACGCTTTGGTAAACATGATGTGTTCTGGCCCTAGTCCAGATTGATCTCACACAGGCATCCACGATACATCCAGTAAGGATCTGGCGAGAAGGACCTTCAGTAGCCGACAGCTGCATTCTTATTTTGAATAGGGAAGACACAGCATGGGTTTTGCATAGTTCCTTCTCTGGATCTTGGAGGGGCCTCTTCAGCCCTCTGGCAGTCATAGAAAACTTCAGAGAGAAGTGATGATTTCTCTTATTTTGGTGAAAGTTTGTGTAAGATAAGAATTCAGTGGGAAAAGATTCCTGCTGGTCTTTATTTTCCAACTCTGCACAGAACGCATGAGACATCTTGCAGCTCATCTTTGCTTGTTCCCTGCAGTTTCCTTTCTTTTGCTCTGTTCTCCAGCAGAAAAGGGGGAGCATTGCTGCTTCTCCCTCAAGCCTTTTGTACAACACATGCCAAAGAACTGCAGGGGAGAGGTGTTGGTAAAAGGAATAAAATAGAGGTTGGCTGCTGAATCAATTTTTTGCGGACTCCTGCTTTTCCAGCTTACAATGAATTATTTAGAAGATCTGTTAAAAATGTAGTAGAACTCCTAATGAGATTTTATGGCCCATTTTATGGCATGTGTTTCTTCCTTGCCACCTTACTATATGGCAGTCTGAAATAACTTTTTGTGTAAGTTGAAAGTTTTACTGATTTTTTTTTCTGTCACCTAGAACGGAGAGCCTACAGCCAATAAAAACTTTTCAGAAATACTTTGTCAGGACAGATACATGGGAATTATTTGGCAACTAGTCACAGTTTTTTCTTCTCCTCATATTTTCCAGTCCAAAAGTAACAATTGGCAATAATTCAGTATGCGCTGAAGTCCTTTTCTGTTGCTAGCCTTAATGACTATATATGGCAACACTGCCTAAATTAATAATTCTGAGCATGCTTGTTTAATGAGTTTGCTTAAGCTTTCTGTGGCTTGTGAGCCATGCAGAGATTTTGTCAGACATCCTGCTGTTTGTAGTTGCTACAAAATTAGTCATCTTGATCAAGTAACAAAATGACTGCTAGGTGCTTATAAAGATACGTTTAGCTAACGTATTATGAATGATTTTGAATTGGGTTGTTGTAGGTTTTTCCGGACTATATGGCCATGTTCTGGAGGCAATTTTTCTCCTGACGTTTCGCCTGCATCTATGGCAAGCATCCTCAGAGGTAGTGAGGTCTGTTGGAAGTAGGAAAAATGGGTTTATATATCTGTGGAATGACCAGGGTAATGTTTCAGCTGATCACCTTGATTTGCATTCAATGGCCTGGAAGCGCCTGGGGGAAATCTCTTGTTGAGAGTAGTATTAAAAAACTCAAAAATTACAACAGCAAAACAACAGAGAGTAAACATTCAGGCACATCAATTCACCTCTCAACAAAAGATTCCCCCCAGGCACTTCCAAGCCATTAAATGCTAATCAAGGTGGTCAGTTGAAACATTATCCTTGTCATTCCACAGATATATAAACCCATATTCCTAATTCCACAGACCTCACTACCTCTGAGGATGCTTGCCATAGATTCAGGCGAAACGTCGAGAGAAAATGCCTCTAGAACATGGCCATATAGCCCGAAAAACCTACAACAACCCAGTGATCCCGGCCATGAAAGCCTTCGACAATAGATTTTGAATTGGTTTGGAATTTTTTTCTTGTGGGATTCAGTAAGAATGATGTCTTGCTTTTAGTTATGGATCTTAATACAAATAACTGGGGAAACCCTTCTTATAGCACTGAATGCTTTCTAGTTATGGCTGTCTGTATTCTAAAAAACCACCTTCCCTTAATGCCTCTACCCAGTAGTTCTGCTTGAGCCAACATTTAATAGGAAGATGCTGTATCAAACCTGAGTGAGCTTCTTGATATAAGATGTTTTGAAAAATAGAACACACTTAGCCATTTGCCTCAGTAACTTGCAAGACTTTTATAAAATATATATATTTGTTCAAGAGCATGGGGATAGCTTAGAGTTCTCTAAGGTATTGGGGATGTCAGAACAGTTTTTGTTCATCAGTGCAATAAGCTGTAGAGTTTTTTGCTTCCTCTTAAATGATTTTAAGTATTTGGTTCATATATAACACTGTTTGCCTTATTTGTATCCTCCTGTTCCTGCCTGTGAGGTATTTTTGATGGGTTTGTGTGTTGTGTGTTTATGGCACAGAAATTATTATTATTATTAACTTTATTTGTACCCCGCTAGCATCTCCCGAAGGACTCGATGCGGCTTACACAGGCCGAAGCCTCAGAAACACAGTACAGCAAAACATAACACAACAGCAAAACAGAAGCAAATCAAATAGTTAAGCAAAATAACAACAACAGTAACAATACATCAGGACACTTTAAAACTGGGCCGGCCAGAGCAGTGGGTACAGGGTTAAAAGTGCTGAAATGGCAGGAGGAACGTAGGATTAAATAAGTGCAGTGTGCAGCGATCTTATTATACTAAAGTGCTTCTAGGACTTGGGGATGGGAAATCCTACTGAGGAAAGATCTCTGTAAAGTGATCTATTGGGATCTGAAAATATTGCATCATCTAGAAGGGATGAATGCCCGATGATGGCAAGAACAGTACCAAGAGACACAAATTTGAGACACAAATTTGGAAACTAAACTCAGGAGCAGTTCAAAGCATTATCTTTCTTTTTCATTGTCTCTCTGACTCATACAAATAGGGTTCTCTGTAGCCTGTATGGAACACTGTTCAGAATAGTGGTTCTCAACCTATGGGCCTCCAGATGTTTTGGCCTTCAACTCCCAGAAATCCTGACAGCTGGTAAACTGGCTGGGATTTCTGGGAGTTTTAGACCAAAGGTTGAGAACCACTGGTTTAGAACCTTCTAGAGCCGTTACATAAGTTTTTTGGGTGGTGATCCATCCTTTACACTCTTCATGGTTCACTGTTCTTGATTGCTAGTTCAGACCTACCTTTGGGGGGTGTATCTTACCAGATTTGATAAGAGATACTAGTGTAGCACATTGCAAAATTAAAGCAAGAATCAGAGGATGCTCTCTGTGGTGGAGTGTCTTCCAAAAACATCATTTTAGAAGTATTTTGTAATGGCACTCCATGCAGTCATGCCAGCCACATGACCTTGGAGGCATTTACGGACAACGCCGGCTCTCCGGCTTAGAAAAAGAGATGAGCACCACCCCCCAGAGCTGCACATGAATGGACTTAATATCAGGGGAAAACCTTTACCTTTACCTTTATTCTGTCACTCTGCTTCTATTTCAGTTTTCCCCACTAATTTTTGTTTTATATTACAATGAGTGTGAATAATAAAATGATGTATGGTGACTCTTGGTCTTGTAAACTTTTGTTCAAAGATTACTTATAGGGTCACTGAACCTATTTTTCTGCTCTGAGAGTTTTTCTTTCGCTCAGCAAAAAAGAGAAATCTGTTCTAACCACGTCATAAGTAAAAAACAAAATTACAAAACATCATCATAGAAGTTAGAATAGAGAACTTTTCTAGTGAATACGAGTGCTTGACTCTATTACAAAGCAAATGAAGAACTTCATAGACTGTGAGCCTAAATCATCACCAGTCCATTTTCCCTCCAGCATCCCCATGTTTCTAACGCACACATTGTAAGTGAATGATTGACTGTAGGAATGACTAACTTAAAAAGATGGAAGTATAAAAATGAATTCTTTGCTCAGATTCAGAATAATTTGCTGAAATTCCCAGGTGCCCACATGAAGCTGATTTTTCCTCTGAATTCTTCTTCTGTTAGAATGTATATCCCTTGTTCCTGTTTATTAAACTGTAGAAGTTTTGAGTGTTTAATACGCTGTTTTTCCCCCCTTGTCTTCAGCTTTTGGAAATTAACTGGACAGGACTGACAAATCTTCTGGATATTCCAGGACTAAAGTAAGTCGAAATCGAATAAAACTGATTTAATAGAAATACACAATTGAGCTTCTGTGACTCTCTGTGTGTATGCACATAAGATATTTGAAAATAATTAATTGTGTATATTGCATCTGTTCTCTGTCATATTTTAAATCAATTACATGTACGAACTGGGAATACTGTCTACTTCAGCAGGATCTCCTAGAAATAATCATAAAACTCTTGTTTCCAGTTTTTAAAAGGACATTTCATTGCCTTGCTGCTTTGGCGGAAACTCAGTTAATCAATTGTCAAGCGGCTTCTGACATTGTTTATATGTTTATAGTGGGAAATAAGCTCATGTGTAGTACAGGAGGCTCCAGAGAGGCTGAGATGAAAAATGTGTCCAAGAATTAAATCTGCCCCATTTCCCCATCTAGATGTCAGTTCAGTTGATGTATAACCCTCTTCCAATTCAAACCATTGATCCTTTTAGTTTAGAGCCACGAGTCCCGCTTTTGTTACTCTGCTAAGAGTAAAGAGCTAAGGGGCATCTTACTGCAGCAGAAATACCAAGGGTTTGCTGTGCAGACTGTAGTTGCACTGACATTGCGAATTGTTTAAAATGTCCGATTTTATGCCTGTTTCTCTCTCTCTCTCTCTCTGTGTAACTTTTTAAAAATAAAGCATTGTGGTAAATACAAACTCAATAGGAGTATGTTAGACTAATTTTGTGCAGGGATGGCTGAGAAAAGCAATATTTGGGTTGGAAATGCTGTTCTGGAAGCTACTGAGTTTGTACTTCTCATAGAATTTGTGATTATTATTTAATGTTACATTTCTAGCCTCCCTTCCTGCTACAAATAGTGCTTGAGAAAACAGCAACATCACTGACACAAACTAAATGCTTAAAGTCATCATTAAAATAAGCACGATAATACACTGTACAAAAAAGTGGTAACTTTTTTACTTTGGTGTTCAATTGTAGAAAAAAAATGCGCCAATGAGGGAAACCCATACAGAATGATAGACGATTAAGACTGAGTTATGCTATGCTGCTCTTATTTCTGTTTTTTGTTGGATCAGTAGCATCAATGGTAAACTGCTGTAGTGTAACAGCTGGCAAGAAACAAAAGTGTTTCTGTGTGACACGCTGCCAGTATTCCGATTATATTTGGCTTTCCCTTTGAAAGGGAAGAATGTAGTCATTCTTGTTCTGCTCTACTCAGAGAAGTCTCGTCTTGAGGTAGTAAATATTTGAGGTTAGCTTGCAGCACTCCACCCAGCAACATTTATTCTGCTTCGTCTTGATTAATGGTTTGTTCCCCTCACCATTTGAAGTAAATTTAATTTAATCTGTGTACAAACATCAAACTTTATTGTTTATGCAATCCCCAAATGCAGCACATGAAAAATTCTTAGTGCGACCGGTTAAGATTCTAGAGAAAGAAATACATCCAATACAGCTCCATGAAGTCCTTGATTAGGTTCTGCCTCTCAGCTGTTTATTTTTCTTTTACCTGGGTTGGTAGGAATAATGGAAGACAAATGGGAGTAATGATACCAAAGTCAGTATTCCGAAATGCGCTCCTGTCATACATTTCAATTCAGTTCTACTTGTAATTTTCAAACTGCATGATGTCACTTCACACTCACTGGGATCCTTTCTCCAGCTATATAATTAATGATGTGTATGCAGCAACTATATTAACGCCTTCACTCGTGTTTACATTATGCATCACCTTGTAATGCATCTCGTGTTTACATTATGCATCACCTTGTAATGGTTATATGCTGCTGTTGAGTGATCAAACATTTTCTGACATTTGTAAATGATTTTCCACCTAAAGATATTCATTCCCCACCCCAGAAATTCTTCATCCAATTTCTTATAGCAACTCCTTTTTAAGAAACTGCTACCCAGTTCCAAATAACTGTTCTACATAGAAAAAGTAGAAAAAGTTGACCATAGTTTCTTTGCCACTTTTAAGAATGCTTAATTTTATAAAACTTGGGTTTTAACAATACTGACTATCATAATTTTAAACTAGCAGTTGGTCCAGAGATATAAGTTTTTATAAATAATAATAATAATAATAATAATAATAATAATAATAATAATAAATTTCTTCCCTGTCCCCATATCCCGAAGGGACTTGGGGCAGCTCACAAAACACTCAATGTACAAAAACAGCAAAGACAACAACACAAAACAACAACGAATATAAACATCACAAACCCGCGCCGCCGCCCCCCCCCCCAATTTATTTATCGTATAAGGAGCGAACCAAAAAGTTGCATTGTATTTAAAACAAACAAACAAAAAACACAAAGTTTGCAAACTTGGCAACCCCCCCCTCCCCCGATTAAGATCAATAAAATGCAACAATAGCTGCAGAATACAATACATACTATTAATGTTTTACATAAATCTAAAAGTTTGGTATAGTGTGCTCAGGAGTAATCCACTTCTGCTGGTTACTGTGGTGTGCCACATTCTCAGTGGCTGAAACCATCATTTCTTCCCCCTTCTCTTTCAGTTTTCATTTCCCTGCCCACCCAACCCTCTTTGACAATTTTTGATATATTTAAAAGTGGAAAAACATAATATGAAAAAGGAAACATTTGACTCACAGAATAAGAATAATAACTTTACAATGGCTGCCAAGCCGATCATAGCAAAGGGAAAAATAAACAAAAATAAAGCACTTCTAAAATCCAAGTGACTTTAATGCTTCCAGCATAACATCAGGTACTACAGTCATTTATATTGGTTGCTGAGTTCTGAGGTCTCCTCATGGGACTTTGGGTGTAGAATCTGGCACCTGCCTTTTACAGGATGGCAAAGGCAGGATCACATGTTTCTATCATAATAACTAACTGGATTAGTTACTTTATATTTCAGTCACATGCTTTTGTAAGAACATCAGCTTTAGTTTAAACTTGTGGGCAGGTCTAATTTAGGAATTAGTTGAAAGTAAACCATGGCAAAGTCTGTGGATAAGCAAATGTTCCACATACTGAGGACTAGCTGTCTTCTAGATAAACAATTTAACTCCCAAGACATATGCTGTTATTTGAAATCTATTAATATCAACAGAATTCAGATGTTCTTTTCTTAGCCTGAATCTTTGCAGTCATAATTAAAATGTACAATGCTAGGTTTTCAGATGTTGGTCCAAATGAAAGATTATGAAGGATCTTAAGTCTACCAGTATTTGTGGGAGGGAGGTTCCACTCTCCCCCATCTTTAGTCCTGTAATAAAGATTACTGTCTTATACCATGTGTGAGATGCCTTGCAGTTTACTAGAAAATAACTTCATCTACGAAAGCAAATTTAAAGCTGAATGGATGCTAAAAGGCACATGCCCTTTCCTCTGGCCATTAATGGGACCATCTTTCTTTATTATTTGCCTGCCTGCTGTGTTTTGGTTCATCTAGTACGTAACAGAATGTGCCTAGAGAGATAGAATGGAGATATTATTTCTAAAATAATAATTCAATTATTGGTTCTGATTAGTTCTGTGACTCATTTGTTATTAATCTTATCACAGGACAACTCCCTCCCATCCACTCCTTATGAAAGGAAATTATTGCACAGTTGTCCACATCAATATAATCTCAATTTTGTAATAGTAATTGTTTGTGCTTAGAGATTGATGCACATATGGAATCTACTGTAATTCTCTTCCCAGTTGTAGCAGTGCTAATATAGCAGCTCTCTGAGTGCAATAACTGAGTATTTGGATAATTCTCTTATTCCTGAGATCCAGTCAGACTAGGATTGTGGGAGATCTAGGGTGAAATCCCTGGGTGGTCTTGGGCAAGTCTCACTCTCTGTTTTATAGGAAGGCAGCGGCAAACCTTGTCAAGAAACCTCTGGCATAGAGTTGCCAAGAGATTGTCTTGAAAGCATGTAACAACAAATATTACTCCTAATTGATTTAAATTGCTTGAAATGTATGGATCTCTCAACAATAGCTACTCTTCATAAACTTGTTACAAGCAAGCAGCTTGAAATGGCATGGAGTTGGGAATATGTCAAAGATTTGTTCACAAGCTCTGAATTCATCCATTTTGGTGGCTGCTTGGTTTGACTTAGTCCTTTGAAAAAAGATTTTTTACATTTTTTTACAAATGCTTACGTTAAGCTAATATCTGCTTCCTTAATATATCATATCAGAAATAATAGCCTGGAGTAATAAACCTTATACTCTGTTCATTACTCTTTTAATTTTCCCTAGTTATGCTGAAAGATAACAATAAGAATTAATTATGTTTATATAAACCATATTAGTCCTTTCCCTTATTTTGAGGCACTGTTTCCATCTTGTGGTTACTCAAGATAATGCTAGAATACATGTAAATAATGGGGCTGAATTGTTTGCTTGTATTTTGATTTCAGATAGTGGATAAATGTCACAGGAGCAAGGCTAGTTACAGGAACGAATGTAGTACATTTAAATCTAACTTTCTTAACAAAGCAGGTATAAGACAAATAGCATTAAGAACATGGAAGATTTCTCCCATGTCGATTATTTTACAGGGTGGTAGATAGAGGGATGACTTATCTGTCAGCTTGCTGTTTTGCATGCTGTACACAGTTGCTATTTTTTTAATCTTTCAAAAATACCATAGTTAACAGGGAATTTTATCAGAAAATTCAATTACTGGTAGTCTGCCAACCCCCCCCCCCCCAATTCCAATATGTATAGGTAAAATAATTTACTTACAGATACAACAACTGAGGAGCTGTTTCATAACAAAATACTTTCACAATAAAACAAAAATAATCATAAAAATAACAGTAAAAAGTCTCTGAAATTTTTTATATGTGGAGCCAAGAAATACCCATTTGATTGTGTGATTACAGACAGATACCTTCAAAACCAAAAAACCTAAATGTCAGTTTATACGTAGCTATACTGTATGTTGATGTTGGATGGAGACCACTAATGAATACCAGGTACTGTATATTCCAGAGGAAGGAAACTGATAAAACCATATTTTTAAGTGTTCCTTACCTAAGAAAATCCTGTCAAATTCATTGGGTTGCCATAAGTCAGAAGTGTAAACATGGTAGTGACTTGCCTGAAAATCCATCATGCAGAATAGCAACAACGAAATTAATCTGAGTTGAAATACTCCTATCATGCAATATATATTGATTAGAATTGGCATGTTTTAAGCAAGAATAATTGTTTAAATACAAAAATATATATAAAACTATTGTTAATTATTTATTGTAATAAAATTGCCTATGTTTTCTCCTTAACAGCGGTTTATCAGACACTATAATTCTAGATATAATATCCAATTATTTGGTGCTTCCAAATCGGATCACTGTTCCTCTTGTCAGTGAGGTACAGATTGATCAGTTGCGGTTCCCCATACCAAAGGTAAGAATCATGGCGTAATATTCTGAAACAATACACTGTCTGACAGTATAGATATTAAATAAACTGTGTAAGTAGAATAATTTCTGGAAGCTAGATAACAAACAATGAACATTAAACTCACTGTAATCTAGCTTCCTTTATTTTCTGTGATAGCATTTAAGAATTTGGAATCAGAACAGACATCTTGTGACCCAGTTATTAAGCAACTGAGAAAAACTCACTCTAGTTGTCCTATTCATGTGATTGTGGGCTTACATATGGAAAGATAATTGATTACTCATTATCATTAATCGAAATAAGTTTTCCTTCTAGACTGAGCCTAAGATGTGTGGTACATTGAACCCCATTCTGTGCCCATGTTAAAGTCATGGCCTCTGTGAAAACTAAGTGTCCTTCCAGACAGGCCCTACATCCCAGGATCTGATTTCAGGTTTTTTTCTTTAAACTGGATTATATGAGTCCATACTGCCAGATAATCTGAGACAAACAGAACACCTGGGATCAGATCCTGGGATATATGGCCTACCTGGAAGGGCCCTGAGTAATATTAATTTATCCATACTGTCATAAATATTTTAAAAAATTAAAAATTAAAAATATGTATTAAAATTATATTTAATTACAGAATGTGAGTCAAGCACTGAAAGGGTTAAATGAATGCAATGACTCAGCAAAAGCTGCAGTTCTATATAAGCAGGTGTGCTTGTAACTTAGTAGCAGTCAGTCTGAGATAAATCTCAGTGGGAGAACGGTCTCAGTCTGTGAGGTAGGCCTTAGTCTATGTGAAGGCTGAGTATGAGGAAGTCCTAGTGTGAGAGACTTCGGTGAAAGAAGCCCCAGTTTGAAGGCCTTGTGTGTTAAGCCTCATGTGTGAAGCTCCAGTGTATAAAGGCTGCTGTGTGTAAGAAGCTACTGTGTGAAGCTCTTGTGTAAGTTTGGTCTGGGAGGAAGCTCCGTGAGAGCGAAGCTAGATGCTGTTTATTTGCATAAGAAAGAAGCCCAACATAGAAGCAAAGAAGGAAGTATAAAGGACTTCATTTGTGTTGTGGAAACCTTGTTATTATAAATAGTGCAACTATATTTCTTTACTGCAAAGAAAAGCCTCCTGTGGAAGAGATAACATTGGTTTGTGTGTTTTTGTTCTTTTTATCACTTTGGGCTACTGGTGCTGGATCACACTGCTGTTGTACATTTATCAGGAGGGTCTTTTGTTAATAAACCCATTCGCCCAACCAGGGTTATGGGCCCAGTATAACCCAATATAAAACAGTACAGACCAGTAGAGACCATATGGAGGTTGTAAAAATATGGCAATGGCATTTCAAGCAAGTGGACTGCGTTTTGAAGGGTTGAATGCCAGCAATTATGCCACATGGTCATATTTTCCCTCTTGTGCACCACAGATTTTATTGTAGGCAACTTTTTAATGGATAAGCTGTAGAATACTGTTACTCATTCCTACAGCTAGAAAGAATTAATAATTTTTATTGTTGAACATTGCATGGTAATCAATTTTTTTGTTTTTTTCCTCCTAACAGGGTGTACTAAGAATACACTTCATTGAAGCTCAGGATCTTATAGGAAAAGATACTTATCTAAAGGGAATGATTAAGGGAAAATCAGATCCTTATGGAGTCATTCGTGTGGGTAATCAAATTTTCCAAAGCAAAGTCATTAAAGAAAATCTCAATCCAAAGTGGAATGAAGTTTATGAGGTAAAAAGCTGCAATGGTTGATCAATATTTGTTTTTTTTAGTTTCACTGAAGCCTTTTAGAGGGATTTCAGATATTGCTTTTTCCTATATGGAGAGAATCTTTGAAGCCAGCAAAGTGTAGGACCTTGAGTGTTTCATTAGGACGTCCCAGAGAACAGGATTTGAAGTCCCGCTTAAGCGTAGATCCAAGGAGGACTTTTGGGCAAGTGATATTCAGAGGCAAACCATCTGAGAATAATTCTTGCAAAATCAAATATCTTAGCACTTGGTTTCCATGAGCTACAGTCAACTTCAGGGCACATAACAATGACAAAACAAGATAATGCCATTCATCCACATATAATCTTTCTGGTTTTGGTATATTGGAACAGGAGATAAATTCAGATGCAATGCCAAGTCATGGTTTGGTGCTGAATGAATGATACTCATGTATATTGCCTTTCATATTCTATTTTCTCTTTGATCCTATTTAGAAGCAGGCCATACCTTTGTTTTATATTCGGATCACAAAAATTGTAGTATACCCTGTTTGGATATATGTATTTTGGGACTAGGTGAGAACTATGTGGGAAAATGAGTACAGGACTTGAGCTTTTGGCTTTTCATAGTGTTGTTTGATGGTTGTGATAAGTTACAACTACTTAGGTCATCTAGTGGTCATTGTTACTTATTCTTGGTACGATGTTCCATATAATCGTGAATTCACCATCCTGATGTTGTTAATTGTTGTATTCCCAGGCCTTAGTGTATGAACACCCAGGGCAGGAGTTGGAGATTGAGCTCTTTGATGAAGATCCAGACAAGGATGACTTTCTGGGAAGGTAAATTCTAAGCAAGAGATTTTTCTAATTATTATTATCAACCAACCAATGTACTTGAAACATTTGTCTGATTTTTACTTTTGTACATACAGTTGAATGTTTCTTGCACGTGGGTCTTTTTAAAGTCCTAAATCTCTATTAGTGTGCATATATGCCTAGAAGTTTCATTAAAATTGGAACTTTAGAATTTAGGTACTCTTTTCTTAATTCTTTATTGGAGGGAAAGCATAACATGATTACAGAGCCTAATAGTTTTTTCATGCTTTACTCCTGAACAACTCCAGCTTTGCATTCTGTAGAGATTAATGCATTGTGTTCTTCTCCTAGTCTAATGATAGACCTAACTGAGGTTGAAAAGGAGCGCTACTTAGATGAGGTGAGTTCCATGCGTTCAATGTAGGGAGGGGAGCGACTGAGATTGATATTCTAAGTGTGATCAGCGTATCATCTTAATCACACATTGGCTTAACCATGTATAAGATACAAGTTGTGATGGCTTAGTTCAAATCAAATCAAAACATTTATTTCGGTCATTGACCAGCACAGGAAATAGTGTCACATTTCCATACAAACCTGGCATGTTTGGTACATTAAAAATATAAATACAACTACTAAAAACACAATATGGGTGAGGGAGCAGAAGGGGAAACAGGGTAAAAACATACAATGCCCAGATCCATCACCAAATTGTAGATTCAGGGAAGAAGATTACTGGACACACAGTTGACTTTTGGAACTAGTCATTCCCTGGCGGGTTTTGTATGCTGCTGCACAGAACTTTGCGACATTGTAGGTTGTAGCTGAATTAGTATCTGCAAGTAGCAGGGAGGTATAAAATTGTCCTGAATGGCCTGGGTGCTTGTCTATCAGAGGTAAGATAAGCCTGGCACGGGTATCCCTGTAGAACGGACACTGAAGGAGCACATGTTCTATTGTTTCCACATGACCCGAGTCACAGGGGCAGAGTCTCTCTGGGAAAGGGATCTTCCGGTAGCGGCCCTCGAGTACAGCTGATGGGAGAGCGTGGCATCGGGCCAGGGTGAAAGCCCTCCGATGAATAGGAACCTCTAAGTATGTTAAATATGCCATAGGGGAGGCAAGGTATCTGCTGTCTTCACTGACAAGGAAGGTTGGAGCCAAGGCCAGATCTAGTTGGCGCTCTGTGTGATGGCTTAGTTGTACTTAAGTTCAAAGATGCCATGTTTTGTTTTAATTGCAGGTATTGGCATGTGGATTAAAATTCACATAGAAATTAGGTGTCTAAGTTGAGATGGTGCTACTATTTTAGAAATGGCATAGATCCTTTCTGTCAATTAAGTAATGTTAGGGCTATATCTGTGTGTCTTCCAAAGGGTATTACTGATTTCTCAAGTAAGGTGTATACAGGCAATCCCCAAGTTACAAGCCTCTGACTTACAAATGACTCATAGTTAAGAACAGGGGTGAAACAACAGGAAGTGAGCGAAATCTATCCCTCAAAAGGGAAAGTCATTCTTGAAAGATTTATCATGAAAAGGTGCCTCCATTGAAGCTTTATCACCAATCCTTGTTTCTAGAACAAGTCAGAATTTTCAAAATTTAATCATCACAGGGACAGAAAGTAAAGTGAAATCTTCTGAACATAGACACAGACAGCAAAACAAACACCACAGGGGTGTTAACCATTCCCAATGCTATCCAAACCTAGCTGCCCCCCCCCCCTATATATATATCTGGCTTACATACAAATCTAACTTAACTTACAGAACCTATCTTGTTCGTAACTTGGGGACTGCCTGTATGCTGCTTTATTAGGGAATGAACTTGTTTCTCACCACATTTTATTGAATTTATTTACAGTGGTTTACTTTGGATGAAGTTTCCAAAGGAAGATTGCATTTAAAAATTGAGTGGCTCACATTGATGCCTACTGCAGGAAATCTTGACCAGGTATGTTGAGATATTGTATACCTGTCCCTTTAAATAAGGCAAGGATCCCTAAATATAGTTCTAAAAGATCTATGCACATGGACATGCACCACTTCGAATATTCTGGCAAAAAATTGGGGGATGACAATCAAGATTTTTTTGGGTGTAAATAATCAAAAATTGATCAACCAATTCCAAATTATTATTTGGAATGACATAGAATTACCATTACAGAAAATGTTTGTTTTGGGGAATATCTTTCTCACAAAATCTGTTTATACTTTGTTGTTGGGCCACGCAAATAAAAATGTTATTTTTAGAGGAATGTTGCCTCATTTCTTGATATATAATAATAATAATAATAATAATAATAATAATAATAATAATTCTTTATGTATATCCTGCTTTTCTCCCTCATGGGACCCAAAGCAGCTTACAACATATTAAAATCATGTAAGCAACAATCCAAATGCATTGATGATATGCACTGAAGAATAAAACATCATAAAATAAACATAAATAAATATAAATATTGTGTATTATTTGAATTAGTTTTTATTATTTAGCTTTTTTGCATATTAAAACTTACTTAATTTTACTTCAATATGATGTGAAAAATACATACATAAATGATAAAGAAATTCTCTAATCGTAGGTGCTAAAAAGCATAAGAGCTGATAAAGACCAAGCAAATGATGGACTTTCGTCAGCATTACTTATCCTTTATTTGGATTCAGCAAGAAACCTACCAGTAAGTCCTCTTGTGGTATTGATACTTTTCTTGAGGGATGTTTCATATTTTCTGTTTCTCATTGCTTACTTCTATGCCACTTTGCTTCACTAACTCACATTATGCCATTTATTTTACATTTTCATGTGCATTTTGCCGTCTTTCTGTAGCAAGCGTAAATGAAGTTGAACTAATTCTGCAGAGCCTTATCAAAGTTCTAAAGATAGGTTTGTAAAATATTGTATCTTAAAACAATTATAACAACTATATTTTAAAAGAGAAGTCATCAATCCCTCAAACCAAATATGACATCATGTATCTTTGCTTGGGTTCAAAACCAGATACTTTTGGAGCTAATATTTGAGAGCATTTAAAGCAGAGGAACTGGGAACCTGTGGCCATCCAGATGTTGCTGGATTCCAACTGTTATCAGCAGTAACTCAATTCGCATAGCTCGTGGGATGATGCAAATACCACAGCATCTGGAGAACTATCCCTTTTCAAAGCTAGGGTCCAATGTACATTTCCTTGAGTAATACTCATTGGCATGGATTCTGAAACTATTTGCTTGGAAAGGGTGTGATTTACTGGGCTTCCAGATTGTAGCCTTATTTGCTACAGGGAAAATTGAATAAAGCGTAAGTTGTGTTGTTGTTGTTGTTGTTGGTGGTGGTGGTGGTGACATTATTTCCGTTGTCTATACCACACCTATTCGCCAAACCTAGGACTTGAGATCGCTTATAAAAACCTATTTTCTCAAATTTATGCAACCTCTGCCTGGTGCATGTGGGATGTGGTGGAACCAAACAGAAGTAGTGAATTGGTGGAATAAAATCCCCTCTGTTTCTCAATATCACACATACTTGTATATATATAAAGACCAGCATTAAGTGGTTTGAGTTGGGCGTTGTTTTGTGGTCATTTCTTCTCATAGGTGTAAATTATATCATCAGGGTAACAGGACTGCTGTGAATCTGATCTCCAAGCCAATGTAAATCTTGTTTCTGGAAGGAGCCATGTAGCACTTTATTATTCAGTTCTTTTATGCATGAACATGAGATTACATGCAAATAATGGAAGCTTTTGTTCACTTCTACCAAATACCAACTCCCGTTCTAATATTTTGTTTGATAAAATTATTGGTTCTGTTCGGATTTTTAAAACTCACTTGTCGCACTCTGTTTAGATATCTTATTTATATATTAGTGTGGAATTTCACTGAGACAGGATATAATCCCACTGTACTTTTAGTAATTATGAAAAGGGAAATTTGCAACCAGCAAGGAATTCTCTTTAAAAATAATTTTACAGTAAATGGAAAATAGTTATAATACAGAATGGCAGTTTATAATAAGCACTACATTCCTCTCTTTACCTTTGCCTTTTCCTTCCAGAAAAGGAAAACATGCCCTCTGTCATGACAGCATTGCTTCCTTTGAAGCCTCACACCGCAAATACTGAATATTGCATATACAAAATAATGTTATTTTCTGAGATGTGGACAAAGGCAATAAAAAAAATCAAACAGAGTGTAAATGTGTAGTTACATAGGCTATCATTTAAGCTTTATTACATGGAAACCTATATTATGTAAATATTTCCTCTTTCTGAGATAGGTTTAAGGTAGTGTTTCTCAGAGTGTGCTCCTCCAGATGTTTTGGACTTCAGCTCCCAGATATCCCAGCCAGCTTAGCAGCTGTGAGGAATTGTGGGAGCTGAAGTCAGAAACATCTGGAGGAGCACAGTTTAAGAAACTCTGGATTAAAGCATTAAGAGAAAAACAACTATGGTTTTCTTGAAAGACAAACTATTCTCCTTCCCCCTTATCCTACCCAGATAGTCCCTGGATCAGTTGAACTTCAATTTACTTAGTCATGTCTACAAATGCAGCCAGTCTTACTCATTTTAAATATGTTGAAATGGCAAGTGGGTGGTGCCCAGATTGTTTTACTAATGTGTTATACAAAATACATTTAAAGTGCAATAGTATCACTGAAAGGTTAAATGATTTTGCTGTTCAAATGGACTTGTGGCTGAAATATACAAAGAACGGGAGGAGGCAAACTGCCTTGAGGTGCCAATGAGAACAAATACGTGCTAACATGTTTACTATTTTTGTGTGTGTTTGTGATGGTCAGTAATTTCAGACTCCTTTGACTGTTTTTCTCAGCTGTGCTAATGGTAAAACTGCTTGTAGATTCTTGCTGCCCAAATCCCATCACTTTCTGCTTTCTCCTTCCATCTCCATTTTCCCAAAGAGTATCTACGAGGGAAACTTTGGGTGTGGATACTTAAAAGAGAGGAGAGCTTCGGGACTAGTCTTTTGTGAAAATACTACCTCACTCTATAGAGCACTATTTGTGAGTTCTTGTGTGTTACATGTGTATTATATTTCCCATTTTTTAAAACCCGCCAGAGTGGTTTGGTGCTACTAAACTCACTTAGTTTTCATAGCGGAATGATGAAGCATGCATTTATGGTTTATGTGCATGGTTTTAAAATTGCATTGTTATCCTTTTTACTGGATTTTCAAATTATATTTTCAGCATAGGCTAATAGGTAAGTGTGCCAATATCCAATTAGCCTTCCAAAGACTGGCATGTTTGTCCATTGATCTGTGTGATTCACTAAAAACAAATCTTAAATCTGTTCGTGGAGAAATGAAATTGCCATGAACTGTAAAAGTCAAACTCTTGTAATTATGTTAAAACTTAGGTTCAAGTATTTTGTGTGGTTTATGTGGCATTCGGAATCACCTTCATTTGGTTCAAGTTGCACAGCAAAAGATTTCAAAAACTATGATGTGAAAACATGCCATTTCTTCAATGACCTTTTGTTAATAAGAAGTGGCTCCAAATATAAATGTTTCCACCTGTTAAGAAAAGGTGACTTCTGTTTTGAGGGCCACAAAGTTTTTGAAGCGAATAAGCTTTCCTGACATAATAAGGAATGTCCTTGCTTTTGATCTGGGTCTGTTTTCACCTGGCTTTTAAGTGTATATATATGATTTCATGAATACGTAAATTGCCCTGGCAGGACTATACTCTCTATAGGGGACCAAGTACTGTAATAAATAAAGATAGTTCAAAAATGACTTATTTAGCATTCAATTCTAAAAATTCCACACGTGCTATTATTGTTTATAACGCTAATAAAATCTAGATTCAGCAGCAAGACTGGCCTGGATACTGGTATTCTTTTATGATCACAACATCATCGGTGTATACACACAGTAATTTCTGTATTCTGGAAAATTGCCTGTATTTATTGGCTCTTGGTATTGATTCCTGTTTTCAGATATTGCCATTGTGAATATAGGCAAGCAAGACTAGCTTATTTATAAACAGAATATGGCCAAACCTTGATTTTCTTCCCAACCATGATCTGAAAAAAAAAAAACACCTGTTTGTGTGAGGTCACTGTCCTTTTTAATTTTATGTTAAATTATTTTTTCTCACGGCTTTAGCCAAATTAAAATCCCAGTTGACCACAGAATAATGAATTAGGATTTACTAGTATGTACTCCTAATCTCTGCATCCTGAAAGAACATGCAAACCTGTAGATGTTTATGTTTGAGATAAAATCTAAGTGTTATTCCTCCTAATCCCATGCCTTGTTCCTTATCCCCAGTTGCTCTTTCCATTGCATTAACATGGCTGTTTTATATATCATAAAGGAGCCCCTGGTGATGCAATGTGGCTGTTTTATATATCAGCCACAGTGCACCATCCTTTGTGCCGGCAGGACTGCTGACCAAAAGGTTGGTGGTTCAAATCCAGGGAGCGGGGTGAGCTCCCGTCTGTCAGCTCCAATTCCTCATCTGGGGACATGAGAGAAGCGTCCCACAGGATGGAAAAAATCCAGCTGTCCCCTGAGCAATGTCCTTGCAGACAGCCAATTCTCTCACACCAGAAGTGACTTGATTTCTCAAGTTGCTCCTGACACAGAAAAAAAGTATTAGAAACGAAGATTTTAAAATCATTTTATAAGCAACTTGACCCAAATTAAAGTGGATGTCATGTTTTGTTTTGTTTAGAAATGGTTTACCCTTATTATTTCTTTTAATTTAAAGACTCCTTATCAGATTTTACTGTTTATTTACTTGAAAACAGCATGCATATTGCAATCCCTTTTGCTGTCTGTTACTTTTAGTATGATATTGCTGCCTTGTCTTGATCTAAAGCAGTTGTAGTACTCATTCTAAGTTGGGAAGATTTTTTAAAAATAGACTGCAGTAAAATTTCATCACAGTTGTGCACTTTAGCACACATTCATGGCACTTGCGCTTCTGCAAATAAAGCAACAAGAATGGAAAAGTTCATTTCCAGAAACAGGAAAAACGATTTATCTCCATTCTTGGCAGACATAAGAACAGTGCAAATCTATCTGCAAAATTATTTTTAAAACTTTATGTGCAATCTTTTTGTTTCAAAGGTTCTCGGGTGTTCTGCTCTTGATTCTTAGGACATTGGTGGGGCCCGGGCACCAGTCAAATAAATTCTCCTGCAGTTTTAGAAGTGATTAGGGAGGAAATTTCCCTTAGAAAAAGAACATAAGAGTTTCTTAAATTGACTAGAAATTTGGAGCCAATTCCTTCTAGAGCAGTGTTACATTCTTGTATATGACTCCTAGTTTCCTAATGGCCATGGAGAATATACATCCAGTTTTAAGATGCTATAGTTACAGATTGGGGTCCCATATCCTTTTTTTAAATCCATCTCAGCCAGTGGTTTTCAAACTGTGGGTCCCCAGGTATTTTGACGTACAACTCCCAGATATCCCAGCCAGTTTACCAGCTATTAGGGTTTGAAGACCAAAACATCTGGGGACCCACAGGTTGAGGATCACTGATTCTAAGCCAAGACCAAGAAATATTTCAGAGGAAGGAACTGGCAAATCCACCTAGGAAAACTCTGAAGTTTATAGGATCACCATACATTGACAGGTAGCTTAAAGGCACACAAATATGCACAAACGGACAAATACATGTCACATCTGTAGTATTTGTCATCAGTTTTCCGCATGACTTGCCTTTTCCTCCAAATTCATGCTACATCTTAAAACGGTGTAGAGTCAGGTAGATGTGATTGACAACAAAATCTTTATTTTTTCATAGAAAATGTGGTTAAAATTTTTAATAGATCTTTTAGATAATGTCATTAAACTTGCTCTTCTTGTTTTGGGTTGTGGCATGAGTGCAAAGCTTTCTATATTCTGTTCCTGAATGATTTTTAAAACAGAATTTAGCTGTTGAAGCACATTCTGTTTGAAAAGTCACGGAACACAATGGCACAGTGAACACTTGCTTTCTTTTTCTTAAAAGACCTAATTCCTGAAACAATGCCCTTTGCCATTAGCTGATAGCATTGCAATCTTGCCTTGACGTTTAGTAGCTTGTCCAGGTCACTTTCAGGGTGATGACTTTTTTACTGAAAAAATGCAGAAGTGTTAATGGAAATGGTCAGAGAGGGATGGCTAATATTATTTTAAATCCACAGATACCTTCAAATCACATAAGACATTTATACTGTATTTGCACCAGTTGGTGGAATAGTTTTGATGCGAAGAGAATGCCTAAGGAAGAAAATCTTAGCACAAGAGCAAAAAGGGTGTTTGAAATTATACTGGAATTAAAGATGGAATGAGAACAAAAAAACTGTGTCAGATTATTTAGAAATAACCTTTTTGTTGTTTTTTGTTCGTTCCGAGAATGTATGTCTGGTCTCCTGCTGTTGTCCTGTCCTTAATTAACCAAGTGGAACTGCTTCATTGCATGACTTATTAACCCTTTATATGTTCATTTTCTTCTGATTTGAAAGAATAATCCATTAGATTATAATCCAGACGCCTTGAAGAAGCCTGCTGTTCAGAAAGCTCTAAAGGTAAAAGTAATACAGCTTTCCATGTAAAGTCACACCATTAGATGGAGACACATGGTTGCCCCTCCCAAACAAACCTTCTGGTTTGCGTTTGTGTCAAAGAACATGGTGTTCCCAAGAAGTAAAGACAGTGATGTTCAGTTTACGTATGAGATGGATTTGCAAAACACATCACTGTTGCATTGTATACATTGAAATATTGCAAAACATTGTCAATATTTTAGTTTCCACATATTACTTTCATAGTCATCTTTGCAGATTTGTACTTAGATTGTGAGAAATGGCCATACTTTCAGCTGTGACAACTAGTAGCAAAGCCTCTATTCTTTTGCCACAGTAAGGAATTCATAATGATTTTGAGAGCAAAAAAATGGCACCAGATGCTGCTTTGTGTAGACACAGCATGCAGGCTGTCGGTTGGGGTGGAGAACCTGCTTTAAATCTGCACCAAACTCACCTGATTTTCCTGACTGGGAACCAGGTAGAAAAATGACATGCCTCCATATTAATTTGAGAATAAAGTGAGAGACTTGCCTTACATTCTGGTTATTAGAAACACTGGCCAACATTTACAGGACTCCCTTGAATAAGGGATTACAAATTCTGTAGGTATTCCTACTCCATATATTTGTATGGGACACTTTCGTCATTTTGATATTCCTGAGATATCCATACATTTCTTTAGAGCAGTGGTTCCCAACCTGGTCCGCGGCTCTAGATTATTAAATATGGTTTTCTGTGGGTGAGCAAATGGCAATTACTGTATAGCATATGCCATGTATCAGAAACTAGAGCTGATGTGGTCTATCCAATACTATTTTCTGAATCAGCACCCCAAATAACCAAAACGAATCTGAAGTTGACCAAAAACTAATTCAGAACCCTTTTGGTACTATTGTTGGAGATTGAACCCTGGTCAAGTGGTTCCTGGTCAGAAAAGATTGGGAATCGCTGCTTTAGAATATTGGATTCACAACTTAAATTCAAAATTTTAAATATTTTTGTCTCTCTGAAAGCAGGTTATAGAGATGGGCATACAGTTTCACACTTTGTTCTTTTGTCTGATTTTTAAAAAGTATACTTATAGAAGCATTCAGCAATAAAAAAGAATGGGGAAAACCTGTGAATGGCCATGCTACAAAATAATCTGTGTCTCACAAAGGCAGTTGATTTTGAGCTTGCAGACATAATTATTGCTTACAAAGAAAAAATATTAGTAAAGATGACAAAGATTGATATTAATATTTAAAAAAACATTATGGAAGGAATTATTTTTTAATGAGTTGTCAATGGAATATACCATTGGGGTTGAATATTGTATGAATTTGTGCAATCTAGAATTTTAACTTTCATTTAATCATGGAATATTGTATGAATTCGTCCAATCTAGAATTTTAATTTTCATTTAATCATGAAAACTCAGAAGATTAACAAAAGATTGCATAGGATTGAAAACAAAATTCAGATTACTCTTTCTTTAAAAATCCAAACCGTTGATTTGAAATGTTATGTTTGTGGCCTTCTGATTTGCTCTAATAATGTTTAATGTCTATTTTAATCACATTACATTTTTTCTGGAGTCCTAATACAAATTAATTATTAATATTCTAAAACATGTGTTTTAACAATTAATAGATATTTCATATTAACTACCATAACTCCTTTTTCCTAACAAAATAATTGCTGTGAGTAACATGCAGATCGTATTAACGGACATTCAAGGTGGAGGAATGCTTCAGTTTCTTGCAATGATTGTAAATCACTGTTTACTTTTGCAGTTTGACCTAATGCTATACAGCTGGTGAGCAAGGTTCAGACATGGCACATGGTTGGTCTGTAGTAAGAGTTGGATAATCCTTTATGAAATCATATTTTCTGCCCTCTTGCAAATTGCTTTATGGTTATGATATACAACTTAACCATCATACATACATACATACATCAGTTTAGCTTTCCATCATACATATATCAGGATAGCTTTCTAAGCTTGCGCTTTCTTCATATCCCCCATTTGCATGCAAATGGCAACATTAATTTATTTGCTGTAATGTTGCTTCATTGGCTTTGGGGTTTAAATGCTTATTAAAGAATGAAAAGTTAAACTTCATTAAACGGTTTCATTCTAAGAGAATGTAAAAAGAGAATGCAAAGAGATCTGAAACTTAAATGTAAATTATTTCAAAGTAGGTGTGTAGTACCACTGCACATCCCCATAAAGAATATACAGTCCGTGTAAAGGTTCAGAATACTGTGTAAGAGGTGGAGTGCAGAACTGAAAATTAGTAAATTGATGGGGAAAAAAACACACCAGTATATTAAAAGAATTTCATTTTTTCCTCTTCAGTCAGGAAAGAAAATAAACAGCAACCCTAATCCCCTTGTCCTACTCACTGTTGGACATAAAGCACAGGAAAGTAAGGTGAGTGTCAGCTGCTTAAATTTGTTTGGTTTAGTTATAAATATATATATATATATACATTCTCCACACAAGTTTACAATAAGAAATATGGTTGCAGTCTGTGTTCTATTGCATGCATTCTCTGCGTGGGGTGGTGATTCCTACAGTTCCTGTTGTATTAAGGCAAAGAAATTCACCCATCTTTCTGCAGAGGTTAGGTAAGCTGAACCTACTTTCAGTTATCAATTTGAACAAAACCTCTCCACATCCCTAAATAGATACGCTACAAGACCAATGAACCAGTCTGGGAAGAAAACTTCACTTTCTTTGTTCACAACCCTAGACGGCAAGAGCTAGAAGTTGAGGTAAGATGTTTCTTGCTTTTTGTTCTTCTAAGGGCTTTGCCCTCCTGCTTTTTGAATCAGTTGTCTGTAATTACTACCTTCAATTATTTATGAACTATATTTCTTCATTGGCAACTAATTCATTAGGAGCCCTTGGTGGTGCAATGGATTAAACTCTTGTGCTATCAGTACTGCTGACCAAAAGGTCGGCGGTTCAAATCCAGGGAATCGGATAAGCTCCTGTCTGTCAGCTCCAGCTTCCCAGGCGGGGACATCCGGACGTCCCCTGGGCAGTGTCCTTGCAGACGGCCAATTATCTCAAACCAGAAGTGACTTGCAGTTTCTCAAGTCGCTCCTGACACGAAAAAATAAACAAACAAACTAATGCATTGATACTGTGATTCCTAAAGTACTATTAATGATTCATTGAAATAAAAATCTTCCTTCTAGGTCAAGGATGAACAACACCAGTGCTCACTGGGAAATTTTAAGCTTCCCCTCAACCAGCTCCTTGCCAGTGAAGATCTAACTATGCACCAGAGATTTCATCTTAACAATTCCGGTCCAAACAGCACTGTAAACATGAAGATTGCACTCAGGGTAAAGTATAAAAAGCTTTCTCGATTAATATATATGTTGCAAAATATCGGCCATCATATATGGCTCCATTTTCCAGGCTGTGGTGGACAAAAGCCCACTTATTTCTGTGGTTTTTCCCCCCCAAGAGAGACAGGGATCAGATTTACCACACTGGCAGTGACAAACTTATAATTTATTTGATGTGTTGTGGTTTAAGTGATAATAAGAAAAGGCCTTCAAAATAAAAATGAATACACTGGATTGCTGTGAGTTTTCAGAGCTGTATGGCCATGTCCCAGAAGCTTTATCTCCTGACGTTTCACCCACATCTATGGCGGGCATCCTCAAAGGTTGTGAAGTATTGGAAACTAAGCAAGGGGGGTTTATACATCTGTGGAAGGTCCAGGGTGGGAGAAAGTACTTTGTCTGTTGGAGGCAAGTGTGAATGTTGCAATTAATATCTTGATTAGCATTGCAAAGCCTTGTAGCTTCAAAGCTTGGCTGCTTCCTGCCTGGAGGAATCCTTTGTTGGGAGGTGTTAGCTGGTCCTGATTGTTTCATGTGTGGAATTCACTTACTTTCAGAGTGATGTTATTTATTGATTATTTTAGAGTTTTTTAATACTGGTAGCCAGATTTTCTTCATTGTCCACATGCTTGTGGATCTCAGTGGCTTCTCTGTGTAGTCTGACATAGTGGTTGTTAGAGCGGTCCAGCATTTCTGTGTTCTCAAATAATACACTGTGTCCAGGTTAGTTCATCAGGTGCTTTGTTATGGTTGACTTCTCTGGTTGAGTTTGTCTGCAATGCCTTTCATGTTCCTTAATTCGTGTTTGGGCAATGCTCCTTTTGGTGGTCCCTATGTAGACTTGTCCACAGCTGCATGATATATGGCAGATTCCTGCAGAGGTGAGAGGATCCCTCTTGTCCTTTGTTGAATGTAGCATTTGTTGGACTTGCTTAGTGGGATGGTAGATATTTTGTAGGTTGTGTTTCTTCATCAGCTTCCCTATGCGGTCATTGCTTCCCTTCAAAATTGGGAAGGTACCATTGACTTGCAGAGAGAGAGAGTAGGATCACCATGTCTAAACCTTGGAGTTGCCTTGGAATCTGAAAGTATATAAATAATTTTCCAATCTCATATGTGTACTGGGCCATTGTGTATTCAGCTGTACTGTAGAAAAGCGTTGATACCGTTTTCTTTGCTTTATCCTTGCTAGATCCTTTCTCTCGAAAAGCAGGAGAGGCCTCCAGACTACCAACACACCGCCCAAGTGAAGAGGCCCTCTGTTTCCAAAGATGCAAGAAAAGGTTCCTTCAAACCTCAGGTTCCTGTTTCCCCAGCAGTCAGCTTGAAGAAGCCCCTGGCTCCTGCAGCAGCAGACACTGACAAAAAGACTGAGGCAGTTGAAAAAGGCCTTCCCTCTAATCCTAGTCCTCAGTGGCCAACAGATCTCAGCAGGAGTTCTTCCAGCCTCCTGGCCTCCAACTTGAGCTATTCTCCTAGCCATCTTTCAGTCAAAGAGCCAACACCAAGTATAGCTTCGGACATATCCCTTCCCATTGCCACACAGGAGCTGCGGCAACGGTTGAGACAACTTGAAAAGTACAGTAACATTTTTTCCTCTAACATTTTTTCCTCCTTTTCTCCATTAGTATAAAATCCTAGGATTAGTAGGACTCAGAACAGCTGTTGAATGAATCAAAGTGCTACAATGCCATACTTTGTAGCTGTCAAGGTACAATGCCAAGAATATGTCCCTCTGTTTCCCATAGTAGGAGAAAGGTGCAATATAAATAAAACAAAGAAGACCATGGGGTGCTCTGTTGAAGCAAAAGTGGGCATGCAAACAGCAGTTGTATCAGACCAGGTGGATTTTGCACTCTTGTATTGCTGGCTTGAAACCCTGCTAAGGACTTCACTTACCCTTATACCGTGTTTCCCTGAAAATAAGACATACCCATAAAATAAGCCGTAGCAAGATTTATAAGCATTTGCGCAATATAAGCCAGACTCCAAAAACAAGACATAGTGATACAAGTTGAAGCATAAAGGGAGACATAGAAAGTGAAATGTAAGAACTTTCCTCAGTGGCAGCAGAGGCAAGTAGGGGCCTCCCTCCCTCCCGCTTTCTGCCTTCTCCTCCTCCTTTTTCTCCTTCTTCAGCCCTTTCTTCCCTTTTGGGCAGGGCAGGCCAGCCCAGGCAAGGCATCCACCCTGAGTGACAGAGGAAGTGAGTCACTGGTTCCAACTTCCCTTTGGCCCGTCCGCCAGGAAGTCTCCTCAGTTAAGTGAGGAGCAGGACACTGCTGTAGGTATTGTGTGTCCTCAGGAGGAAGAAGTAAACATGTGGCTAACATTTTACTCAGCACTATATTTGAATAAATGCAGATTGTTGTACCATATGTAATAAAAATAAGACATACCCTGAAAATAAGCCATAGTATATCTTCTTGAAGAAAACGCGGTATTTGGAATCGGCAAGAAAAGCCTTCCAGTTCATTTTCTGTTCATATGGCATTCTGATAACTGTGGCTGCCCTTTGTAATCATGCTTTAAAATGTAATTACCTTAAATCCTCTTCTAACTCATTCATTTATCTAATGGAACTTTCGAGACCAATTCTAAGACATTTTAAAAATCTCCTTTTTTTGGAACTAACAAGGGTGGGATGCCCTATCTGTTAACTTTGCAGCATTGTGTTTTTCAGAACATGGAACTTAGTGAACTGGTGAGTGAAACAGAAGATATAGTGTTCTCATTGAGATGTAGACATATGTATGAGCTTTATTGTTTAGAACCGAAGAGCAATTTGCGCCATGCCTGGTCATCTGCAAACAGCCACTGCTTCTCAGGCTAATTTTATTTTGTCTTACGTCTGCAGAAGGCACTTTGAATAGAATTTTTGCTGTTACTGAAAATAAATAAGTATAATGCACATGGTTCAAGAAAAAATTGACACACATGCATTTTGATATGGAATATATACTACTGTATGTATATAAAAAGAAAAGACGTGCTTGTTTTGCTATAGCAACTAAATACTGACTTATATTATTGTGATTTTCACAGTGGCACAACGTTAGGACAGTCTCCATTGGGGCAGATTCAGCTAACAATTCGTCACAGCTCGCAAAGAAACAAACTTATGGTGGTGGTTCACACATGTAGGTGAGTGCAGTATTGTTCATTCCTGAGGTGTTACATATAAGGACGTATTTACTAATTTAGGTTATACAGAGAACTGTAGAGGTTCTGCTTTGCTTGCACATGCAGTTCTAAGTCATCTTGAATAGAATCAACCAGGGTTTTTTTCTCAGGACCGTTAGCCATATTTTAATATGATAGAGCACAACAGCTCCTTTATAGAGCCTGTTAAACATACATGTAATGTATATGATTATGGTGATATGAGATATTTCACCAGAAGAAACAATCTGAGCTGAGTGTAAAATTACTTGTTATGCAAAGGGCTATGTTTCTTTGAGAGACCATACAGTTTGCACTTATGATGCACCATGAATTGCAGAATTCCAGGTAATAGGGCTAGGAATGTACACATTATTCCAATTTAATGAGATCCGGGGCAAGAAATATGGAGAAGTAAATTATTATCCTCACATTATCTTTTGAGCTATTCCTATGATTTCTCTAAATAGTGTTGCCAGTCTGTTTCCTAATAATCTGCATTTGAGGACTCTGTATCAATGTGTTTAAATAAACTTCATGTATAAGCTGATGACAGATTTTGGAACCAAAAGTATGAGTTTTGATATGACCCGTGAATAAGTTGAGGGTCGCTCCATAAAGAGGGGGAAGCGTCTGCACTGCCTCAAGCAGTCAGCTGCTGCCGTCACCATTTTCCTGGCTGGGCAATCAAAAAGACCGGAAGTGGTGCTGTGGCAGAGATGATGATGATGATGATGATGATGATGATGATGATGATGATGATGATGATGATGATGATGATAAAAATAATGATAATAATAATTGTGCAAAAGCTCTGGCACAAACCAGTAAAGGTGGTCCCAGTGGTGATCTGCACACTAGCTGCAGTTCCTAAAGACCTTGGCCTGCACTTAAAAACAATAGATGCTGATAAAATTACCATCTGTCAGCTGCAAAAAGCTACCCTATTCGGATTTGTATGCAGTATTCGTCGATAAATCACACAGTCCTAGACACTTGGGAAGTGTCTGACATGTGATCAAATACAAAAGCCAGCATAGTGATCTTGTTTGCTGTGTACTAATCTTCTTGTGTATCTAATGATGATGATGATGATGATGTTAATAATAATAATAATAATAATAATAATACATTTTTATTTATTACTCCTTTCGGCTTGAGATGGGGCACAACGTAGTTAAATAACATATTAAAACATCGTTAAAATGGAATAGAGAGGCAGGTGATTGAGTGCATATAGGCAAACAACGGGGAGATAAAAAGTTAGGCAGTAGTGCACTCAGCGGACAACCAGCCTAACATGAACAACGGCCTCTGCTGCTTCTTATTTTGTACTTTGTTGTTTTGTTTTCTTTTGCCACAGAAATCTGATCGCCTTTTCAGAAGAGGGGTCTGACCCTTATGTTCGAATGTATTTATTGCCTGATAAGAAGAGATCAGGAAGAAGAAAAACCAGTGTTTCAAAGAAGAATTTAAATCCAGTCTTCGATCAGGCGTATGTTTACAATCTCCAATGTTCAGGAAAAAAATTGATAAAATGATTTTGCTTGCACTGAAACTAAACAAAACTAAGACTTAATTTCACAAGCCTTACCTATACAGGCAGTCTCCAAGTTACAAACAACTCACAGTTGATAACTGGAAGTGAGTGAACCCTTTCCCTTGGAAGGGAAATTCACTCCTAGAAGAATTATCGTGGGGAAAAGGTGTCTCCACTGAGGTTCTATTCTCAATTCTTATTTCCACAACCCAAATCTTTCAAAATCCAATTGTCACAGAGACAGAAAGTGAGGTGAAATCATCTGAACAGGGGCACGGACAGCCAAACAAACACCACAGGAATGTTAACTCTTCCCTATGCTATCCAAAGCTAAAAACAATGTGTTTCTGGCTGGAGTTACACTTTAAAAATGTACCTGTTTTGACTTACATACAAATTCAACTTAAGAACAAACCTCCAGAACCTATTTTGTTTGTAACTTGGGGACTGACTGTATTTTGTTTTACATCAGCAACTAATGGCCTTTGGTTTTGATAAACCTAGGAGAAATGCTGCCAGCAATTTGCTGTTGCTGGGATTTCAGTGATTTCTGATTGTATCAGTGCTGTTACAGTCTATGGATTTTGAGCTTGGAACATGCCTAAATTGGGTTACTGCGAGTTTTTCAGGCTGAATGGCCATGTTCCAGCAGAATTCTCTCCTGGCGTTTGTCCTGCGTCTGTGGCTGGCATTTTCAGAGGTGTTAATAAGTTTATAACATATAGGATTTTGATTAAATTAGGGGTGTTATGAGCAGGTGTAAGTTTGAATTTAACAAATTTCTTCATGGAGAATTAAAAAGTAGCATTTCCAGGATGCATTTGTGATAGTTCTAAGATGAAGTTAGACAAGAATAGAAGGCAAAATTGGGGAGAGGTACTCATCAAGAAGCAAAATGCAGGTTTTCTTCCATAAATATTTCTTCAATGTAAGGTCCCAAAAGTTCTTTGCAAATTTTCAGCAATCTTATTCTGTGAGCCTGTGGATCTGATTTTTTTTAAGAGCTTCTAAAGCTATGGAATACATTCAGTGCCTTAGTTCATATTCACAATCCCAAAAATGCAGATTTCTGAAGCTTTTCCTTACACTCTCCGAATTCTTTCTCCCTTTTCAGCTTCGATTACAGCGTTTCATTAGCTGACCTGCAAAGGAGAACACTAGATGTAGCAGTGAAAAATAGTGGTGGTTTCCTGTCCAAAGACAAAGGGCTCCTGGGTAAGGTAAGTTAAAAACATTGCAAAACATGCCACAGTTGCAATTGAGTCCTGTACCTACAAGCTGCGACGTGAGCTTAATTAAGCTGTCACTTCATGATGTAGCTGCACAGGTATCATCAAATTAACTCTGAGCTGAAACAAAAGTTGTTTCCCTGTAAATTATGTGTCTTCTAATAATACCTCATTTACCAATTTACCAGACTTTGAATTGAGAAAAAAGTCACATGGTGCCGAGGTGTCAGCAGATGCCTTCTAACATATTAGATTGTATTTTCCAAGAAATAAAAGGAAGCTATGCATATGTGTTTGTCATATACTGTCGCACCCCAGGCTTGAAGCCACGTACGACCAGAGCATCACACAAGAGTCCAAGATAAAAGCAAACAGTTAATTGTAAAAACACACAAAAGATAAATATAGGAAAATCCAGAAAAAAAGAAATCAGGTATATAATCCAAATAATTGATAATCAGTTGTCACTTGTAAATCCAAGGGTAAAATAGTTCAAAGATAGTCCCAGAACACCAAGGCAACTTAAGTCCATAAGTAAAACTTGAGCAGGAATACAAACCATGAACATGGAGTACTTAGATCCAAAAACATGGGCGAAACTTGGAACAGGAATACAAAGCAAGACCACGAGATACTTAGATCCAAAACCAAGACTTGAAACGAGAGAGCCAGGCCTATCTGTTAACTTGAACACCACGCTGCCTGAACTGAAGAGCAAAGTGCCTGTTAGGTATTAATAAACAGACATGAAAGCATTGCATCTACCCCGGAGTTTCTGCTTCCCACAAAGACATGAGGATATATGAAGCTGGCTATCTGTTTGAATCTGCAAGTGAATCTCCTTGCTTAAGTCAGAAGCACCAGGTGGGTTCCCATGTGAATTTGTCATCCCTTCATTTTTGCTAGACTCCTTATCTGGAGAGGATGATTATTTATTTACCGCATTTATATACCGCCTTTCTCAGCTCGAAGGTGACTCAGGGCGTTCCAACTCCTTTCCCTGACCTTGAGATTCAGAGACAATTAAATTGTCAGACCCTGCATCTGTGTGCTGGCCTCTCTATCTAAAACAGTTTCACTTTCCTGGCCTGCATAAGAAGGAATCCCAAGATCTGTATCAGAATAAATCCTAGGAAAGCCCACAATCCCATCTGACTCTTAAGTCATCAGTGAAGCCATCAGTCCCTGTCTGCTGTGACTGCTGCTGAGCTACAACATATATGGTCTGAGAGTAGGACAGTCATGTTAGATTCCAGGCCGAAAGCCTTGAAAACCCATAAAAAGATCCCATACTTCCATCTTACTGTGTGTGTGTGCGCGCGCATGCGCACACACACACGCAATTCCCCAACCATCATTGATACATGACTATTTATACTATAACAAAAGCTTAACTAGTGGCAATGAGATTGAAGACATTAAAGCTTGAAAGGGAACCTCAGCAGAGTTCTCTCTTCTATTTATACACTCTTAATTTGTTTATGATTCAACATCAATTTTCTCATAATGGCTTTGCATTTTTCAAATCTTATTTACCTTCTTATCTTACACAGGTATTGATACCACTGGCATCTGAAGAACTTTCCAAAAATTTTACCCAGTGGTAAGTATGGCCATTGTGATTTACTTTCTTTCTTAGTTATTTTTGATGATGTTGCTCACTTTCCACCCCCTTTGTTTTATTTTGTAGGTATGACTTGACTGAAGATGGAACGAGGCCTCATGTGTCGCCATAGGAAGTTGATTGCCAGAAGCTCCTGTTCCCATACTTTTGCCAACCTTTATATATTTTATCAGCATTGTTTCACAGAAATGTACCAATATTATTTTTTATAACTCTTAGTTATTAGGCCCACTACTGCTCCCCAACAGTTTTATAACACCTGGACATTTTATGTAGGCTTAAGTCAGTTTAACTGTAAACCTTCTTGTCTTTATTTGTTACAACTGTTTTAATGTGCAATAGGGTTTGTAGAGTAACAATGGAACATTTGGGGCGGGCGGGATTTATACCCTTGAGAAAAGTGAGATGATGTTTACCTGTTTTTCCTATCTTGTTTAGCTTCACACCAAGGTGTTTGCTGTGTAAATAGATGCTATTTTTTAAAATGAATTTTCCTTAGTGGTTAGAGGGAAGAAGAAAACGTCGTAGCAAAGGGATATTTTCTTCCAAACCAGTGATCTCAAAATTTGGGTCCTCCAGAAGTTTTGGACTTCTGTTCCCAGAAGCCTCAGTCAACATGGCCAAGAGTCAGGGATTCTGGGACAGGAGGTCCAAAACCTCAAAAAGACCGAAGTTTGGGAATCACGGCTCTAAACACATGCTGTAAAATCTGAAGGCCATGTTCTAGGAAGGGTCATGGCAGCAGAATGGTCTTAATTTTACTAATAGAGATTAAAAGTCTGGCGAAATCAACACGCCAGTTAGCCCATATATTTCCAGCCTAAAAGGCTTACAAAAAGGGAGAGTACAAAAGATTAACTTTTTTGATATTTATATGAAAATGTATTCTTGAAATTTGATTCAGATAATGCATATAATTCACAGATTCCAATATTATAAAGAAGATATATATATAAATATATAAATACTGTATTTAAAAAGTCTATCAAGGTCCTAAAATCACAATATGTTCATTTGGAGTCTCTATAATGTGAAAATGGAAGGCTTCGGTAATTTAATGCACTTTGCAGCCATTGATTTCCCCATCCTTACTGCCAAGAAAATTGTCTATGCAACGATGTGATTAAGATTAAGAGTTTAATAACCCTTCTAATGAATCTAGCATTTGTGGTGGCATCATATTGATCGATACTGATATGAGGCGCTTTATTAACTGGGTCTTCAGAGTATAATTACTGTTGTCATCGTAAAAATGCTGGTTTGTCTGCAGTTAAACTGAAACTTGTGTTACAGAAGACTCCATCCATGTCTGATTGACTCTTTGCCTGGTTGCTTTAGTGCTGCTCCTCACAGAATTTGGGGGAGATCTCTCTCTTTTTGGAGGTCACCCTCAGTAGTCGTGTAATAGTCACATTCCATTTAAAAGCCACTACGTTCTATTGCAAGGACTCATGCTAGAGTCTAATAATACATACATCCCCAACAAGGAGCATTTCGTGGACACGAAAGGGATTTATTTACAGTAGTCATGGGCAAACTTGGGTCCTCCCTCCAGGTGTTTTGAACGTCAACTCCCACAATTCCTCACAGCTTACCGGCTGTGAAGAATTGTGGGAGTTGAAGTCCAAAACACCTGGACGGAGGGCCCAAGTTTGCTCATGCCCACTTTACAGATTCCATCAAACCAGCTCTGAATTTGAATGTGTTACTTCTGAATGATGATAAAGAAAGTAAGAGAACCATTTTAAATCAAGTCTGAGTTGCAATCAGTGTAGCTTTTTCATTGGGTTTTTATAGGCCCAAGTGAGACAAAAATAGGGTTTTTTTGGGAGGGAGTATAATGAAGATTATTATTTGAGCATGAACTTTTTCTTCCTTGTATTCACGGTTGCTTTCAAAATCAAGGAACTTAATTTTTAAAGTTTTTCCAGGTGAGTTTATCAACAACAACAAAAGTGTTTGCATTTTAACCCAAGACACAGTATAGTTAACAGTCCTTTACTTTTAAAGATTAATAAACTTATGCATATTAGCTTTATAATTAAAACTTACTAAGTTAAACCTCTGAGTTTAGGCAATTGAGAAAATCTTGCAGGAACCTCTCTTGCATTAGCACCATTAATTTGAGCTTGCACCGAAGACGTTCCCATAGTGCCCTTTAAATACACTATTAAGAATCCCAAAGTGCCTACCTCATCATATTGAGATTATCCATACTAAGTTTTAGAAAATAAAATAATTGTCATTTGTCAGCCTGTGCTTTGACATGCTACGTCCATATGCTACGTAACATACTGGCGTCCTTGTTTCATTTTGCATGGGTTTTACTAGGCAAACTTCTGGATATTTGGCTATATATAGAATAGCACAATTGGGCTCAGTGACAGAAAGGTCACCATAAACAACTATAGCTTGGATTAATGTGGTTCCCAATCTTCTTTTAAAAATACTGAAATATTCAGTGATTGACTCCCTTTAGAAAGCTCTTACAAGGGAGGATAAGTAACATGAACACAGAACGGCAAATACAAGTAAATATGCAGAAAATATGATTAGTAGAGAAATCTTGTTGCAGATGGACAGAAGTTCAATATTGAGATCTGCCTGCAAGAGACATCAGTCAAAGGGAGCACTGTGTGATGACTTGACTTAGGACTGCAAAATGATTTAGTTTCTATAACTTGACAGCCTTCAAAGAAGGTCTCCATAAATAGGACATGTGAGGGACAACTTAGAACATGTAGGTTTCTCTTTGAGATCTACGGTTGAAATTAGAGGGGGTTTAATTAATAAAACATTATGCTGGATGAACTGAAAATGATATCTTGCACCTGCTCTTTCATGTTCTCAAGTATGAAAGGATTCCAGGGTTGAGAGTCTAGAACGGTGACAGGCAAACTTCATCCCTCTCTCCAGGTTTTTGGACTTCAGCTGTTAGGAATTGTGGAAGTTGAAGTCCAAAACACCTGAAGGGTTGAAGTTTACCCATGTTTGGTTTAGAACAGTGGCTCTCATCAAGTTCTCCAGATGTTTTGGCCAAACTCCCAAAAGTGCCATCCAACATCATCAATAGCCAGGTATTCTGGGAGCTGAGGCCTTAAAACTCCTGGACGGCCAAAGATTGAGAAACACTGATCTAAAACCTTGAAGTCCACTAGCCAGGTTCAATGTGCCAACTAAACCAGGTAGACATATGTTGATAATTTGAGGAGTGTACCTCAGAGTACAGTCTCAGCTCAGAAAACCATTAATACTAGAATGATGTTCACAAAAACTTTTGAATACAAAGTGCTATGGTTCCTTTTTAACTGTCTTGGCTGCACCCTGCTGTTTGTAGTTGGGTGAAGCACTGGAACTCTCTGGCTGAGAATTTTAACTGCCTCCCCATCAGGATTCCAGAAGATGTTCCCATGACTGCTCTAATTATGCTGTGTGCAATGGTCCAGACAAATTAATATAATAAAACAATATGTACTTCTCATTTCCCCAAGGATTTTGCTTTTTGTAACATAATTTAATTAAGGTTTTGGTACTTTTAGACAAAAAGGGAGTCAGAAATGCTTGCTCATTTGCTGAATGTTATCCAGAGATTTTCCAAGTGTACTTTGGTCCTGCTCCTAGAATCAGATCTCTGATAAAAAATGAGAATTGCAGGTCATACACATCCAGTTCTTTTTTGAAATATTAATCACCATCTTTTTGACCCACTCGGTCCCAGTGTACCCTCATTTCTAGGACTCCTGCATGGGGAAATAACATAATGGGATAATTGCTTTGTGTTGAATAATAGATACTAAAAAAAGTAATTTGCAGTATGAAGAGTCCCCATGGGTGGCCCTTAAAGTAATGAACCTCTAATGAAAATCTGGACCAAAATCTGGAAAAAGATGCCAAACAGAACTTACAAATTGTTTGCATGGATCTAATCTCTCCACAATTTACTGGTGACTCATAAAAATAATGAGGAGGAAGCATGAAGCTGCTATTCGCAAATCAAAGACTGAATGTCATTATGCCAGCTTTCCGTACTGTTGTTTTCTAAATCCTGTGCCTTAAAAGGAAAGCTTAAAATATTTTATGTGTTTAAACCCAAGCTTTGTTCAATGTATTTACTGTTACATACTGTAGAAACTGTTTTTGCTGGAGAAAAGAGCAGGAGCCTGCTGTAATCCAAGCACCAAGCCAATGTGTTAACCAGGGTTTAGGATTTAAGATTGCTTTTCCTTGTAAACCCTTGTTTTGTCAGGCCTGCAGCAACTGGTGAAAGGAAAAGAAAGGGTGGTCAGTTTAGATTGCCTTTTTTGCTCATGTAATTTTGCAATTGCATGTATTTATTCAGTAAATGATTCATATGGAAGTCACTGTGGCTGTTGTCTTTTATTTCACCATCCCAAGATGTTCTTAAATATGTCTGTAACTTAATTAGAAGTCATTAGTGCATTTGGCACATCCCATTATCCAAATGCTCTATTGTATTACAGGAGAGATATTCCAAAAATGATGTAGAGAAGAGAAAAGGAGTTGCTGGTTACTTCTCATCCTAATTGATTGGCCGTGGTGGCGCAGTGAATTAAACCCTTGTGCCAGCTGAACTGCTGACTTGAAGGACAGCGGTTTGAATCCATGAGACAAGGTGAGCTCCCACCTGACAGCTCCAGCTTCCTTTGCAGGGGCATGAGACAAGCGTCCCACAGGATGGCAAAACATCTGGGCACCCCCTGGGCATTGTCCTTGTAGACAGCCAATTTTCTCACACCAGAAGCCACTCGCAATTTCTCAAATCACTTCTGACACAATAAAAAAATTGGATGAAGCAGCAACATTTTTTTGGACCTTGGTTCCATTGTGAGAATATTTTCTTTAGAGTTCAGAAGACAACTAAGGATGAGGATATTTCAGTCTTCTAGCAAAGACAAATGAGGCAACTAAAACATATGTCAAAGTACTTTCCTACATAATCCTTTTGTCCAGTTGGCTATTACCTTCTTTCATCAGTCTCCACATGTTTCCTATATTCCCACCACTCTTGGCTTCAGCAGTGTTCAGAATGCATATTCAAACAATACAATCTAATTTCCACAGTTCTTGGTCTCTTGTTTTTAAAGAAGTCTATGAGCTAGATTGAAAAACAAAATGTATTTTTCCCTTTTGAATTAGTTCTAAAATTGTATTTTGGTGCATTTTTCTGAGGAGGAGGTCCATAACTTTCATCTGAGTCTCAAAAGTTATATGTGACCCAGAAAATGTTCAGAACTATGGCACTATCTCAATAAGTGTCTCAAAATGCAACATACCAGCAATTAAAGATGGAAATAAGAATTTAGATGGGAATTATATTTGTTGAAAATAGATGTTCGTGAAATAGAGACTGAAAGAAAGGGGATAGGAAGGAGACAAAAGTTAAGACAAGACGGTGTCTTGGACTTTAAACTACGACGAACACATAGAACGACCACCAAGGAGCAGATGGAAGTCAAATATACACTTTGAGGGGTTTTTGTTATTATTTTGCTTTGTTTGTTTTTTTCTTCTTTCTCCCATTTTCCCTCTATCTGCATTATTATTTTTGGTTTAAAAATCCTTCTTTTCTTTTTCCCTCTTTCCCAGACCCCTTTTCTTCTACATTTTTTTGATTTTAGTATAATACAAAATTAACCATGTGTCACCAATAAAATTTATTTCAAAAAAATGCAACACAGCAGCTTTTGGTACTTCAAAAATAGGGCCTTACTGAATGTAAAAAACTACAACATTTGTAGAGGACACAGGTTTTTTTTATAATAATACAATAATAAAACTTTATATACTGCTCTATCTCCCCAAGGGGACTCAGAGCGTTTTCCAAATAACATCATCAATACATAATAATAATAATAATAATAATAATAATAATAATAATAATAATACAATAATAATAATCTTTATACCCCGCCACCATCTCCCCAAGGGACTCAGAGTGGCTTACATGAGGCCAAGCCCAACAACAACACATCAATAAAAACAACAGGGAATAAGCAAAATAATACAATTAATATAACTCACATATAGACAATAACAAACAAGGATTTAAAAACCTATGGCCAGGCCAGATGTAATAGTTAAA